CTTCTGGTCAATGCAAGGAAGGCCTCTTCAACCGACTCCCCCTCCAGATCAAGCGACCCGGTCTTCTTCTTCTTGCCCCCTTTGGAACTCTTATGGGACCCTTTCCTTTTGTGGCCCTTAGCACGGGAAGAAGATTGACCGGCCTCCTTAGGCTTGGATTCGATATGGGCCTGAAGAGAGTCAAACCGGTCATCCTCGAAGAGATGGGTGGCCGAAGGGGACTTCACCTATCTCGGATGAGATCGTCAAGGGAAGTGCACCGGGCAGATGAAGCCCCTTCCATCCCAGGGTTTTGAGGAGGAGAAGGAGGGTTGTTATTAGGGGATTGGCCGCCATGGAGGACTTCATCATCATCATCATCAAGGTTGACAAACCGGGTGAATTCCATGTCTGCAAACAAGAACGGAACAAAACATTACCGGTAAGCTTTTTCAACTTAACAAAATAAAGTTGAAATCAAAAGCTCAAGGGAGATTGACCGACCTGGATGAGGAGAACTGCCCTCAGCATGACCATCCGGGGAGTTGGCCCGGTCATCTTCTGCGTCATGGGTCGCAGACATACCCCCATCCGGGTTGGACAACCGGTACACCCAGCCTCCATAGGTGTAAGGTTTCCCGGTCACAGGATCACCCTTGAGAAGTTTCTCACATGCGTCCTCAAGCTCGGGAGTGGGGTCCGGGTGAACCCTTTCAGGTTTTACCACCCGGTCAGCCCATTCAGGGTTAGTGAAAGGGAATTGGTTAGAAGGGAACTCAATGAAAACAAATCTTCGTTTCCATTTCTTATGGCTAGGAGGAAGACCGGTCACAAAACTCCTCTTGTTGCGTGAATGGAAATAAACGAAGCCCGGACAGTTACTACCCCCGGGTAAGACCTCGTACATATGGAGGAAAAGCTCAAGGGAAGGGCTGATTTTTAAACTTTCGCAAATATTGACAAAGCAGTTTAAGAACCGGTGAGCGTTGGGAGTAAGCTGACCGGGAAGAACATGAAACTTGTTACAGATTTCAATAAGGAGAGGGCGGAGAGGAAAAATAATGCCTCCCTCCAGAGAAGCGATGTGAAAACCCACCCGGGTACCTTGGTGAGGTTCTATGATGTTGGGCCAGGTGGTGTTAGAGAGGAGTTTATAGCCTGAGGGGAGGACAGAACGGACCTCAGCCAAGACCTTTTTGGTGACCCAGGAAGGTTCTTTGAAGACTGGTCTGACATCAAGGGCTAAGAAGCCCAGTGATCCCAGTCGTTCTTCCCATTGATCCCAACTAAGGACCTTGGGATTGAACCGACCGGGCAGTTGGTTCAAGGGGACAGGCTCTTGGGCAATTATCTCTCGGGCCTGAGAGGTAGACTGTTGGGAGGGACGGCGAATTAATGGAGTAAGAGGGGGAGAAGAGGATTCAGAGTGGGAGGAAGATGAGGGCTGAGAGCCCGACCCATAGGACTGACCGGACACATTTTGTGAGTTAGAGGAAGACATCTCAATATCTTACCGGTCAAGAACAGAGAGATGAAAAAATAAAGACTAGGAGGACTTACTTGGTAGGAAGCTAGAAAGAGAAAGTAGACCGGGCCAATCAAGAGAAGCGAAGGAGAGAAGTGAAGAAATGAGATGGGTTGGAGGAGTATTTATAGGAGAGAGAGAGGAGGGTTGGAATTCGAGGCGACATATGGGAGGCTGAGGGGCTGACATGTGGAGAAGGTAATGATGAAAGGGGAAATTCAAAATTTGAATTTGGAAGGTGAAAGGTTTTGGGGGGAAATTCCAAAACTGAAAGGTCTGGGGTGACGCTTGGACTATTACGAATCCAAAGGACAGGTCCCAAGGGAAGGTTTGATGTATTCAAAAGTGGTGGGTCTTAGAGGAAAGGCTGGATGACTTTATAAGCGCTAGGTCATGGGAATGACTTAATGATTTCAAAGAAGGACAGGTCATGGGAATGGCTTGACGATTTCAAAGAAGGACAGGTCATGGGAATGACTTGACGATTTCAAAAAAGGACAGTCATGGGAATGACTTGACGATTTCAAAGAAGGACAGGTCATGGGAATGGCTTGACGATTTCAAAAAAGGACAGGTCATAGGAATGACTTGATGATTTCAAGAAGGACAGGTCATGGGAATGACTCGATGATTTCAAAAGGACAGGTCATGTGAGGGACTTGGTGATTCAAAAGGACAGGTCATGAGAGAGACCTGGTGATTCAAAAGGACAGGTCATGAGAGAAGACTTGTTGAATTCAAAGGTGATGGGTTAACATAAGTATACTTTCCGCCCTTGATGATTTCCTCACAAGGCCGGAAAGTGGAGGACTTCTTGATGGGTATATCCCTATACCCGACCCGGACAACCGAAAGGGACAGGTCAAAGTATGACCGGTCACTTTTATCAATCACCAAATGAGGTTAACTCTTCGATTGGGACGGGTCAAAAGTTGACCGGTCATTTCCACTAAAAAAGTGACCGGTCACATTTTGGGCGATAGCCAAAATATCACCTTATGCTACGAAGGATATTCTGGAAGACCAAAAAGACGGGTTGAGCGCAAGAAATGACCGGGTAACCTTTGAGAGAAGGTGACCGGTCATATCACTTTACTTGGCTAACATTGGTCCAGTCTCTTAGGCATGGTGAACCACGTCAGAGGTCGAGGGGACACCCCGCCGCTCATCCATCACGAGGCACACAGTGAAAGGGATGTTTGTCATTTTGCAGGGTTGATTGGATTGAGAATATCCATTTTAGTCTTTGATTGAACAGTGCTTTTTGGTTGTATTAGTAACAACTCCATGATTGTACAGTGCTTCCGTTATCTACAGTGACCTTCCCACGAGCTTCCTATTTTGTCCATGGATGAACAGGGGAAGGTCACAAATCCTCCTATATAAATATGATGATATTTGATAGAGGAGGGGATCCATTCTTTCTCTCACTAAAAACTAGTACACTCTTGAGACAGAGTAAGAAGTATATTTCGGACTGAGGAGATTTACCCGGTCTAGGTCATACTTTGTGTTCTTGTTGTGTGTTTTATATTACGGGTCAAGTGTCCAGGTTAAACCCGATTAACCCGCCCAGCTATATTTACACCATCATAAGCAATAAGTGTTCGCAAGATAAATTTTATTGAATTAATTTTTTTAATAATGTATAATGAAATTTTTGTTTAATTTGAGCAAATTTGTCGAATTTGATACGGAGTAGTAAAACATAAAACTAGACGAACACAGTGAGAAAAATGGTATTACTCCATCCGTGCCAAAATACTCGTAACTAATAGTTACAAGGGCACAGTCCGTTGACAATGACCAACGATACCACTAGTGGTGCCAATGTGTTTTTGGAGCACCTTCGATACTTTGTTCGCAAAATTGATGATTCCTACCCTTTTAACCCACCCCCTAAACCCCCCCACCACAGCGCCACCCTAAGCCTCCTCCAAATGTGTGGATATTATGGATTGCAAAATAGCCACACATTTGGAGAGGGTAAAAAAGGATTCTAGGGTGGGGCATAGGGGTCGGGCTAGGATGGGTGCGGTGGGAAGGTTTAGGAGTAGAAATCACCAATTTTGTGAACGGAACATAGGAGGAGCTACAAATGAACGAGTGTCATCCGTTGAAACTAATTATAATTAGCTCAGTGTGACTTGAAATAACATCTCACATTTTGGCCACTTCTAAAAATCTCTAATTCATATACCAAGTCATAATAAACTTGACCAATCCAAGAAATCAAAGAGAACCTTAATTAAGGGACAATTATTTGAATAAGCCCACAATTTTTGGCACAACAAATTTTGATTAGTACAAAACCTAACTTTCCTTGTACATTATTTGTAATCTGCTTCCCTTGCAAAGAATATGGTGTGTGGAAATGAGATAAATACTTATTTTTCAAACCCAGAAATTTAAAATAAAAAGAGAAAAAAAAGAATCAGTACAAGGAATTGTAAGTACAACAGGTGGCAACAATGGATGCAACACAAATGACAAGTGATGGAAGCAGTGTGGCATTTAAGAGTCTGCTCTGCCCCAAATAACCGGCAGCCGTTATGGTTCCGTCGGCGACGACCCGGGCTATTGTGCCGGCTTCCGTCGACAGGAGCCCGCCGTTGTACGTTCCACGAGAAAGACGGGACGACATGACTCGGGAGAGGAGGGACAAGTTCACACCTACATTGCCAAACAAAAAACAAAAAAAAATCATGTGTCGGTCAATTGCCACGTGGAGAATGTCACGTTGACCAAGTCAAAGTCGTGGGCACTTGTGTGTTGAATGCAGTATAAGGCTAGGGTATGCGCAAATCCTAACACCGATTGTTTTTTGGAGACTTGGTGGCACCCGAGGTCCAACAATTGATAATAGAGCCAAGTTCACGAGTTTGATTCCTAGGGAGGAAATTGTTAATCATGTGTCGAAGGCCAAGTTACCATTGAATGTTGTGACCGAACGCTTGTGTGCTGAATGCACTATAAGACTAGGGTATGTGTATTTCCTAGCACCGATTAGTTATAGGATATTTTTTAGGACTAGAGGTCCTACAACTGGTATCAAAGCCAAATGTACAAGTTCGAATCTCCGGGAGGAGTAATTGCTTGCTTATAGGGAAATTCTTGGGCATGTGTCCATCAATTGTCTTGTGGCGGAGACCAGGTGGCCAAGTCAAGGCCGAATGTCGTGCGACAATGTAGGCTGAATGCGTTATAAGGGTAGGGTATGCGCATTTCCTAACACCAATTAGTTTTAGGAAAATTGGTAGGACCTGGTGTCCTACAAAATGAACATACTTTTTCTATCCCTGCCACTGTCTACATGTCTAATTTTATTGAATGTTCAATAAAACTAAAGACTGCATAATCATTTGGAAGAAGCAGAAGGAAAAAATTTACCTTCCAAAACCTCTGCAGACACAAACATTATCAGCCCAGAGATGACATACTGTGGCACAGAATATGGCACCATTACTTGAAAGCTGAGGAGTATTCCAAAGAAAACCACAATCTCAGATGCCAGCAAAATTTGCCTGCATTGCATGAGAAAAATGAAAACAGTTAAACTTTGATGGATGAAATACTTCCATTGAGAAGAAGAAGAAGACGAAGAAGAAGAAGAAGAAAAGTTAACCTGTCTTGGAACATGTTGCTTATGTAGCTTCCAACAACAATATTTACCGGAAGAACGGTTAAGCCAAGACATGCTAAAAAGATTGAGACAGTGCCAGTTGACCACTGGAAGTAATATTCGGTGATAACGCTGGACTCCGAGAGTAAAATCTCCATAGCATATTTCAGCATAAAGTAAATCAACAACTGAACCTGAGATCAAAGCAGGTTTATGTCACCACCGATTGCTGTAAATTAGGATTCCCTCCATCCCCATCTCCATACCCTCCCCCCCAAAAAAAATGGTGTTTCACTCAAAAACAATTTGACCGAATACATTTTAATAATAATAATAATAATAATAATAATAATAATAATAATTATTATTATTATTATTATTACTAGTCCAAAATGTACCTTCACGGATGGAGTCAATAATCTGTATGCTGATCCAATGGAGTTGGCGGGCAGTCGAGACTCCTCTGGGGCTTCTTCGCTCTCATCACATTCTTGGTCACCATCACCATCTTGTTCTTCAGATTTTATGAGCAGTGGTTTCGCGAGACCTTCCTCTAGCACAGCGTTATCTGGCACTAAAGAAATTCATATTGAATTCAGAACCTTGATTTGAAGTCCAAAATGATAACCAAGAACTCCAACAGAAGGGATTTCTTAAAGAGAAATAAAATACTTTTGGAGAATAGGGTATGACATATACATGCTACACTAAATAGCATAATAATTACAAATAATAATAGTAATAATAATAATAAATGGGAAGCTAACATATACCTGCACTGGAATCATGTGTAACATTGATTTCTTCAGTTTCTTGCACAGGTTCTCTAAATGAGATCCATAACCACACCAAATACATTAACCATGCCAAAGCCATAATCCAACCGGGTAAAGTTTCTTTGTTCAATGTTAGCTTGTATAGTTTGAAATCAGCTTGAAGTAGGCCGGCAAGTGCAGGACCACATGCCATTCCCAGAGCACTGGCACTTACAAAGCCTGCCGAAGCTTGCATTCGGATTTTAAGTGGCACACAGTCACTGATATACCTTCGGTTCACTGCTCTTGCAGAACCCAAACTGCAATTAGAAATGCCAAGATCGGCCACTAACTTTGTCAATTGTCAAATGATATTCGGTTGCAAAATTTGCATTTACTATTCAAAATTTCACAGAAAGTAATAAGCATTGGAAGTTTAATCATTTAATGTGCCATTTTTCCACTTGCATGAAAATATCATGAGAGAACAATGAGAAATTATAGTACGCTTGAAAAACATTAAATTTTTTCAATATTTGGAATGACAATATCCACTAGGAAAATGCACATGTGTGCTAGTTATGCATAAGAAGAAAACGCGCTCATGTACTATAGTTATGGATAAGAAGAGAATAACATATTAACACATACAAATCACGAGAGAGAGAGAGAGAGAGAGTACCCGCAGAATAATCTCCCTATCAGTAGAACTGGTAGTGATTTCAAGTCATAGGCGAGTGCATATAGGATATTGCCTATACAAAGAGCTATACTGCTAAATACCAAAGGTCTGAAATAAGACTTGTTTGACCAAGCACTGAAATACACCGATGAGAAAACTTGTGCAACTGCCATTGACCCAATCACAATGCCACAAACCGTAGCTGCAGCACCAAGACTCATAGAATAGTCATCTGCTGTGGGAACAATAATATATGTATTAACCATATAAAGGAAAGTGTTGGCCAGGTTCAACATGAGTGACATAAAATGGTATCTTTGATCATCAACATCTTCTTCAACTGCACTAGGCAACTCTTCTTGCATTATAAGTGCATGCTGGCCCAAAAAGCTTAGGAAGTTTGTTGAATGAGTTAACCTGTCTGTTGCTGCTCTTATTGAGTCGACAACAGGATCCTGCGGATGAGCACTAGATTAGCATAAATTGTAAAATCCAGGAAGAAATAAATAGTAGTAAGGAGATATATATTGCTCCAACAAAACAGAGAGAGAAATAAGAACAAGTAAGAAGTTATGATTAAAGTTGAAAGTATTCGAGTGAGCTAATATAAAGAAGGCAGATGAAACCTGAAGGGGAAGAGCAGGCTGGTCATAAATAGACAAGTAGCTTCCCTGACGGTCTTGCAGTTCTGCAAGATTACGAGATATTGCTCCAACAACTGCCCCTAGTCCCTACAATTGTAAAGTAACTAGTTTCTGACATTGTAAATTAATGATGGAAAGTAGCAAAGGCAAACCACACGTCCTATGCATCATATGTGCAGTAGAATGGATATCAATAAAGATTTTAGCATGATGCACACCGAAGTAGACCAAGAATAATTTAAATAAATACATAAAAACGAGGAAACATGTGAATATATAGGAATTTCAATTGGTGTCTCACCACATGCTTGAAAACTTGCCGAAGCTGCGAATAGGGGTGATTGGCCCGTGTTTTGACATAGTAATTGGTAAATTTATAGCCAAAGCGTTTGTCAAACTTCTTTAATATTTTCCGCAGCCCAATGGCATTTATTTCAACAAAGAAAAGAAGCTTAAGAAGATCACGTCCCACTTCCCTATAAGCTTCCCGCAGCTCACTTATTTTGGATATTTCAGGCTGCTCTTGAAGACTTTCTTGACGCTCATTGAGTTCAGTTATCCTGCCCGCAAGTGCTCCTTGCTGTTCCAGCAAGAAGAGCACAATCTTTTCAATCTGCATCAATAACCAACATACAGTATTTTTTAGGGATACAACATACAGTACTATTCAAACTTCATGTAGATTGTAGCAATACTAAGCTAAAATGACATATTTTTAGCATATATATAGCAAATAAATATATTTTGCTTGTTGAAATTAATCACAATTGAATCTCACTAAGTCCCTAACCATCTCCCCATTGTAGTTATACTCAATCACAACAAAAACAAATACATTTTATCCCATTATAGGAAAAATAAAAAACTTATCACCCCAAATTAATCATAATCTTGAGTCTTGACACTACGTAGACTAAGGGCCTGTCAGGTAAGATGTATTCAGCAAAAATGTATGCTGAATTTTATAAAATAAATTTTTTTTAGTAACATCGATTTCAGTCGTGACTACTAATTTTCTACATATACAGCTAAGCACAACAAGCTAGACAAAGCTACCAGACATACCACTAATATGTATATTTTGCATAGTAGCATCATAATAGTGATCCTTGTTTACTCCAAATGTAATCGCTACATATGTTGAGGGAACACCAAGAGTATCTTAAAGAGTACAGGTGTGACTATTTATTAAGTCATCTCACACAAGCTGACTATATAAACACAAATCAGCACATAAAGCATTGGAATACTACTACAATTAGGCTGGTTTTTAGAATGGAACACAAATTTTTACTTGCCATGAATTTTTTTTACGGTGGAATCCCAAGTCTTAACAACTAGCAATAGATTTTGTTATCCCAAATCCCAAGAAAAAGTCCTGCATTCAAGTTGAAAAGACACCAAACTTTGATTCCAGAGACCACCCAGCGAAACATGAGCACCATGATATACACGGAGTTTAATAGTGAAAATCCGACTAACCTGATTGTCCAGCATTCTTGAGAAATCCTTGAGAACATGTCGGCGGTCCAAAGCCCCGGCTTCAATTTGGTTCGAATACTGCCTAACCTTTTTCTTCATTATTTTGTAGTTGATATAATATCTACAAATAATAGATAGATTTTTCATGAAGTTCACATACAAGGATCACACTTTTTCACAAATAGGATTTAAAAAATACCAATAATGTAGTCTTCAATGCATATCTATAGTGAATCGCATACCCTTGCCATTCTTGAACTTGTCTTTCCTTTAGCTTCTTCCCAAAAGCAACCATCTTTCACTGCAAATGAAAGAACTTCGTATGAGAAAACAAAATGACAAAACCATATACATCCAGGCATACTATTCTTTTCATCATTCAAAAAAGGCATTCCAGATGAAAACAAAAAGACAAAAAATTTAATTTTTTTCTTCTCTAAATCATGGTCCATTAACCTCAAAAAGTAGCATATAATTATCACTATGTAATGATCCCTGTGAGGGGTGGCTACTTGTGCTAGATTGGTAGTTTCTTCCATTGTAATATCAGTGCCTACAATTACCCATTCCTGTTCCACTTTTACCACTATTGCAAACTAACACTCCGAAACTCCATTGCGTGTTCTTTGTTTATTCCTAGTTTCTTGTCTCTGAATTTAAGCAAATTGAACCTTCCATTCTTGGCTCAAACTTGAGCTGAGACTGGCAGTAATTGTCCAAGATCTTACATACAATCACAATCTATCTATAGACAACATATATACACAACACACATTGACACAACCTATAAAACAGAGGCGCTGAATAAAAGCTACCAGAAGTACCAAGATGTTAAGGAGGCAGGAGACGAGATTCAACAAACAGAGACGAAGGGGAACAATCTATCAGTTTCTTCAAGAAATCCCGTTCAGGAATATTGTCGAACAAGTTCGGAGCAAAGGGCCTATAACAACAAAAACCCAGATTCCAATTCCCAAACTTTACAAGAATTTCGGATCTTTTTTGATACCCCACCGACAAGGTGGAGACAACTGGGGATTGGGATAAGAGTTTTATGTTTTTGAGCTAATGGCAATTGAATTTCGGAGTTTTGGTCTGCAACAACTAATGGTGTATATCGTTTACAATGCTCTGGAATCAAGAACCAATCATTAGCTCTTTAAATAAAGAAGGGATTCTGGCGTTAGTTAAGATTTTTTAATGGTTGCCAAATTGAGTCTTTTTTTGATTTAAAAATAAGAATTGGTTTCTGCCAACAATCTAATAACTTTATCTTCTCTCAACTCCACAAAAAAACCAAAAGGTCTCAAACAAAAATGTTTGAGTTACAAATATTTTCTCTGTCTCATAAAATTGTTTTCGTTTTGAGTTTTAAAAATCTAAGAGAAAGATATTTTTCACTTGATTTTCTAAAAATATCCTTGACGTTACGGTAAAAAGAAAATGTGATAAATAAATTATTAGTAAAAAAATATGATTAATAGATATTATAAGAATTAATAAGGTAAAAGTGATTTTTTAATGAAAAAATGAATAACATTGTAAGAAACAAAAATTAAAAAAAGGACTTTTTGAGACTGAGGGATTACAAGAATTACAAAATAAACAGCTTTTTTAGTGCTAATTATATAGACAATGGACTATTTATCTATTTCGCCAATATAACAATATATTTTAAATGATTAAAAAGTAGAAATATAAATGCACAAATAATAAATTTATATATTTTGAGACTCTTGTATTTGTGATTTATAGAATTTCTCGGTCTCAAATAATTAAAAAATGAAAACTTAAACCTACAAATAGAATTTTTTAAGTTTTTTGATTTTTTGTTCTTGACTTTAGCATTTTTGTTTACTCACTTCCTCTTAATTTATTACTCCGTAGTTCAATATGCCTTTTTCAGTCAAATTGTAAAAAAATTAATTAATTAACCCTTAAACATTAAATTTATATCAAAACTTGGTATTGTACATTGGTATTTTATAATATTTTCATTGTAAATGGTCATTAATACCCTTCCAAAACCTATTACCCCTCTAATTCTTCCTTCAATATTCGTCGTATTCATATTATTATTATTATTACTATTATTATTATTATTATTATTATTATTATTATTATTATTATTACTACAATCATCATCATCTTTATTACTATTATTATTTTTATTTTCATCATCATCATCATCTTTACTATTATTATCATTATCAGCATCATCATTAATTAAAATTATTGTATTATTTTTATTTTTTTATCATTATAATTGTTATCATTATTATTATCATTAATATTGTTATTATTAAATTATTATCACTGTCAATAAATTAATTTTTATAATTTGAAGCAAAAGTTGAAGTAATGCCACCAATTTTTTTTAAAAAATATTTTTCTTTGTCCCCAAAACAAATTTTGGTTACTATTATATAGTCCATAAAAATAAAATACTCCGTATTAATTTAATTAATTTATTAGATATATCTCTTTGTAATTTTGCAACATTTCATGATTATAGTCCTTTGAAATGAGACTAATTTGTTTTAAATTTTACTTCCATTTTTACTTTATTATATGATTACATCCTAATTTATTTGTTTTTCTAAAAAAATATATTCATAAATACACTTTACAAAAAAATTAAGGAAAAATTGATATAAATACTCTTAGAAATTCGAAATTTTACAATAATACTTCCAAATTTAATAAAAGACTCTGGTGCTCCCAATTAAACTATAAGTTTACATTACTACTCTCATTATGTCTAATCAGCTTTTCTTATGCTTACATGTAAGTAATTATGCTTAGTTGACATCTTAGTTGTTTTTTTGTTTTAATAAGACGAAAAAATTATATAAATACTCCCTGAAATTCAAAATTTTACAATAATACTCTCAAAACCAAATAAAGACTCCAGTACTCTAAAAAAATATCTTCTTTTACGCGAAAAGCTGATTAGGCTAAATGGGAGTAGTAACGTAAACCTATACTTTAATTAGGAGCACTAGAGTCTTTAATTAATTTTGGGAGTATTATTGTAAAATTTCAAATTTCTGGAGTATTTATATCAATTTTTCCAAAACTTAATTAATTGTTTTACACACTTATTTGGATAATTTTTTGTATTTTATATTTCACTTGTTTATAATTAATTTTGTTTTTTGAAACAAAAATAATCTATTTCTTCAAATAATTTTTTAATTTTTCACTTGTTTATAATTAAATTGTTTTACATACAATTTAATTTTTTTTAATTTTTTTATACAATTATATTTATAATTAAAATATAATTTTATTTTTTTGAATTTTCTAATAAATACTTTATATAGCATGTGTTATATAATTTTTTTATTATTAGATATGATATCATTTTGAAACAAAATTTATAGTTTTAATAATGATGCACATTTAATTCTTATCATTTATATAATTCTTTGTTTCTGAAAAGTAACAAAAAGGAAAATTTGAGTAGTTTTAAAATTTTATATAAGCTTTGTTTTTTAATTAAAGAATAAAAGTTATACAACCTTATTTTAAATTTAATAACATTAAATGGTGAAATGCATATTGGTATAATACCCTAAAAATAAAAGTATTTATATAAATTTGATAGCATTGATTATAATACTAATGAAAGTCAATTTAATTGTTTAAAAATTAATGTAAAAGATACCAAAGTTTTAAAATTAGAATTAAAATGTGTGTGTGTGTGTATGTATATGTGTGTGTGTGTGTGTGTGTGTGTGTATAGAAAAGTAATAAAATGAGATAAATACCGGATATATTTAAAAAAATTTGTATATAATATTATTTTTAAAATAAATAAATTTTATTTTAATTTTTTAAATAATAACATAACAGAGCTGTGGCTGTTATTTAGTTGTGGGGTGTCTTTAGTATTTTGGCGGATATAAGTATAATTACCCATAGATCATATATCATTTGCCATTATTTAACCTTTATGCTTTGGTTGGTTCGAAAAAATTAGGGAGGAAGTTAAGAAAAATGCTAAAGAAAGGGAAAAGACCAAATAAAACAGAATTTCAAGTTTGTTTGGTAAGTAAAGAAATTAATGTGTGAAAATTATCTTTCAATGACATGCATTTTTTCATAAGACATGTAATGAGAGAGAGATGAGATGGAGAAGAAAAAACCTGTAAAATAAGTTTGACCGTCAATTGAATATAATTTGTAATTTTTTCTCTTTTATTACATTACCAAAATGAAGAAGTTTTTTATATTTGATTTCTATCTTACTCAGTGTTTCTATTCCTCTCTAATCAAATAAAAAAAGATCACTTCCTTATTCTTTGAATTAATCTCTTACATTTGTATTATTTGCCCTTTTCAACCCTAGTCCAAACACTACTACAAAAACGACCAAATAAATTCCCCCATTTGCATCGTTAAGCAAAACAAATGATGTAAATGGGAAATAAAATTTGCGTACCGCTTAGTTTTTGGATCGGTTATTACCATTTCTGGGAAGAGGCTTTTGCATCGGTTTTACAACCGATGCAAAAAGTAACCTGAGCATTTGCATCGTTGGCTTTTGTATCGGTTCAAAACCGATTTAAAAGGGTTAAAATAACCGATTTAAAAAGTCTTTTTTAATTTGTAGTAGTGAAAGTCTAAAAGTTACTCAATGTGAAAATCTACTCTCCTCCAAAGTCCAAACTAGGAATAAAGTCTAAAAGTTACTCAATGTGAAAAATTGATTGGCATGTTTAATTGTTTCCCCATTATTATTACCCCGTAGTAAATATATGAAACAAACACAAATACATGCGAATATGACTAAACTCACATAATAAGATCCTTTCATTAGATCAATTTGTTCATAAGAAAATGGTTAAAATATTACTCCGTATTACACACACACACACACACATATATATCCTTTTATTTTCCACGAAGGAAAGTTGTTTTCACTGGGATTCGAACAAGTGCCTTTCTATTTGAGAGAGAGTCCGACAGATGACGTTGGACCACAAGGCCTTTGACAAGACACGTTCATATATTTCTCAATGCTTTCAATATTTGTAATTTCTAGGCCCTACAATAGAAATACTTAAACATAAGAATTTACAAATAAAAAAATTAAAAATATTCTTTACTTATGTTTCACATTCAAATTACGGAAGAATATACTTTCTTCGTCCCAAAAAATTCTTAACAATCCAACTTTTTTAGTCAAATTTTATATTTTTGACCATAAATTATGGATGTACTTTATTTAGTTATGGCCTTAATTTAATAAAATAGCATTCATTTTAAGATTTAGTTTAATATATTAAATTCTACAACATTTATTCATTTGAAACTACACTTATAATGGCCAAAGTGTGTAACAATTCTTAAGGTGGATTATCACATTATTTGTTGGCCTTAGGGCGCCAAAAGTTAGGTTTTGTTTGGAAACAATATTTTCAATTACTATTTTGGTCAATTTTTTAACCGTACATGTTAAATTTGAAAACGTTAAAGCTAAATGGTCAAGCTTTTGCCAAACGGGCTGTTAGAGTTCCTTCCCCGCAAGTTGGGCATTTATTCGTCACTTGCTCCAACTTAAGGGGCATAATAGGAAAGGTACAATTTGCTCAGATGGTGAAATTGAATGCTTCCAAAAAAATCTTAAAAATAGAAATTTGCCTCAAGACTTCAAAGAAGCAAAGAAGATCCAAGACAAATTGATCATATATAAAATGATGACAAAATATGACATAAATGCATGCATATCTAGATGGGGTTTCAACATTGATTCAAGGTGTTTTTCTAATGAGATGCATGTTTTTACTGAATTTTACATGCTCCATTCATCCCTATTTTGATTATAATTTTTTTCTCTGATCTCTCGATAACTTTTGTTTATTTACGCGATTTCATTAAGTATTTAATAAAATAAAATATTTTGTCACCTCTTGTTTTGTAGAATTTTTGACGTAGTTTTTTAATACTCGGTATGTAATTTTTTTTTATTAATATACTGATTTGTAAATAAAATGATTTAAAAAAATGAGAAATTTTTGTTCGTAAACCTTAATTTGTATTCAAAATGGGTACGGAGGGAGTAATATAAATCCAATACTCCCTAATATACGTAGGTTTATGTGCATATTACTGGTTTTAAGTATACACAGTTATACAAACTTATTCTCATTATTCAATCTTAGCTTTGTGAATAAATTGTCTAGTCAATCTTTGTGCAGTTTCCAATAGTTTTTTCGCCAGAGAAGAAGCTTGAAATGAGCCAAATTGCAAGAAAGTCATTTGGATAAGAAATTGAAAATCAGATCAGACCAAAAGTTGAATAATATATAGAATCAAAACTCACATTATTGAGGAGGAATTCACTCAAAACCTGCAAATGAAGTTCTTTCCACAAGACGACAACCTTCTTGAATGCCTAAAAAAAGCAAGGGAGGATGAATCAATAACCGAATTTAAGAGGAAAAAAAAGATTGATCTTCGTATGTATGTACCGAGTTTTGCGTTTAGTTGGGATGTTTTCTTAATTGATTTGGAGACAAGTGAATCCTTACGTGCATGTCACGTGCAATTTGGGAAATTCAAATTTCGCCTTAGCTTTTGCGTTTGTGCAATGTATGCTAGGGCGCGCACTAGATATGGTTTAACCTTTGTACTTTTCGATCTTCTTAGCAAGTTCTTGGAAAGACGCGCTAAACAAATATGGAATTTTGAAATCCGAACGTGGCATACTCGTTACAATTCTTGGGCAGGCACTAGATATGTATGGTTTAACCGGGATGCTCCGGGCAGGAGAAGAATGTGATGACATATATATTCCCTCAGTTCCTTAAAACCCTTCCGCCCTAAATTTTTGCGCACCTCATTAAACGCTTTTACTCCCACCTAAAATATCTAAAATATATCTCACTATGTAGTTTACTGCGGGTAGAAGTTGTTTTAGGGGTATTTTAGACATTTTAGGTGCGATAGAAGTATTTTATGGGATGCACAAAAAATTAAAACGGAAGTGTTTTGTGGAACGGAGGGAGTATATATCTGCACATTACACATATTGTTGCCCCTCGAATACATGGAAATTTGAAATCCAAAGCCCTCCAGCCAATATTTAACTCATACCCAACAAAAGAAAAACAACTTTAGTTATAAAAAAAAAAATGAGGGATCCATATACGATAAAGTATACATGTGTTTCTCATTTAGTTATACTCAAATCACTGTTCCATAAAAAATGAGAGCATTTTCCACTTTGGTCACTCACACTCAACTTTCTCCACGTTCGGTGCACGGTTGCAGCACGTATGGCACACGCCACTTCTGTTAAACGTTTTTTTTCCTTTTAAGTAGACACAAGTTTCTCATTCAATGATACTCAAATCATTGTTCTAAATATCGAGAGCATTTTCCACTTTTTGGCCCTCAAATTCAATTTCTCCGCGTTTCCTACAGGCTACATTTGATTAATTTGACCCACTTATCTAGCCAATATTTATCCAAATCCTAATTATTTACACCGGATAAGTGGCTCTAGATGAGCAAAATTGTTAGAAATTCATGGGTGTCCAAAACACCTTAAGCTATACGGAGTATAAAAAATGAGGCATCCATATGACCATATTCAATAAAGATACCTTTAGTTGTATGGCTGGAAACACTTTTGTTAAATCCTCTCATTTTAAGTGTACACTTGTTTTGTTTCTCATTTAGTAATACTCCAATCACTGTTCTAAATGTCGAGAGCATTTTTTCACTTTTTGGCCGCTCACTTTCAACTTTTTCCACATTTGGCGCACGCTTCACGCACGTATCGTGCACGCAACGTTTGTTAAACGTTTTTTTCCTTTTAAGTATACACGTTTCTCTTTTAGTCATACTCAAATCATTGTTCCAAAAACTTAGAGCATTTTCCACTTTTGGTCCCTCCGTTTCAATTTTCTTCGCATTTCCCACACGCCACATTTGATATATTTGGTCGAGTTATGTAGCCAATCTTTATATGGTGTGATTGTTTTCGTTGGAGAAGTAGCTCCAAATGAGCCAAAAATATCAAGAATTTTTAAATATCATTTCAAGAATTTTCTTATAATATGGAAAACACCTTATTAAAAAATATCATTTCAAGAATTTTCTTTTAATACGGAGTATAATAAAATAGTCAAACTATCTTCTATGTTACAAAACTTTTGATTTAATTTTTAAGTATACATGGTAGAATTTTTTTTAATACTGCAACATTTTTGAAATAAAATGAATTGAAAATGGTTTAGATCAAGCAACAAAAATCTAATCAATAACACTATATCAAAACAGAGGAATATATACCAACAACTCCATACTGCCCCAAAAATTTGACATAAAAGATCATTGAAGGTAGGCAGATATTTTTACATGAAAAAGAAAAGAAAAAATAGTTTCAAAAATGAGTAGAAGCATAAGACAAATATACTTTGGGAAAAAAAAAGAGAAAGAAAATGCATAGAGATTGAGAGCTTTTCGTTGCTACTCCTACTATCGTTCTCGCCTACAAGGTATAGGCGAACACGATTGAGTAGGGGCAGCAAAAAGAAGCTTTAGAAAAAACACAAACCCCCCAAAAAAATAAAAAATTAAAAAAAAACAAAATTGATGCTTCTACTCAAATAACTACACAGCCTAACATCACTTGGAACCATGTTTCTTCATCTTCTTTTATATACCCAAAAATGTACAAAGTACAAAAAGCACTATGGTTGAATGAGCCTCCCCCCTTGACCCGTCGCGGCGACGGGCAAGTCTTTGCCTTTCATCCACTTGGATTGGTAGGCTTTAGCCTTGTCTGGGGCAATGAGCTCGAGGGCACGGTGAACGCACTTCCTGTACGAAAAGTCCTCAACCGTTCCGTCTGAGCGCACTACGATAAAGCAGGGCGATTGGTGCTTTTCGTGACGCCCTACCTGTGTGATCACAAGAAATTAAATGCATTTTTGACAACCATAACAAGGGTAAAATGGTCATTCGTCTGCATTTCCAGCTTTAAAAGTCATATTATGTAATAAATTCTCGTGTGCACGTGAGTTGCACGTGACAGATCGGATAAATTGGTAATTCGTATGCATTTCCAGCTTTGAAAAAAGTAAGATTTTGCACTATTATTATTGTCGAATTCTCTTCATATAGTTTCTATGTAAAGTACGAAATTCGCGTGCAACTCCCGTGCGGGCAACAAATACGGTAAAAATTCAAGTTTTACCATCAAAAGCCATCACATTGAACAAAAGTTACTGAGAATGGTTCTATTATCAGTATTATGGCCAACAAGCAAAAGTATAAAAGCCAATGTACCTTAATTTCACGAGCACCTGTCCCAATTTTCTCGTCTCGTTGAGGATGAAAGTACAGTGCTTTCATTACAATTGACTTATCAGATTCCTTCAACGGCTCATCAACACGATATCTGCAACACATCATATCATATTTGGCAGTGAAGAGGCTGATGAACTGATAAAAAAGCCAAAATAAAAAAGAGACTTACGCTTTCAGCATATTACTGAGTGCTTGGGATAGCTTTTGGATGTCATCGAGAGAAAACGCTTTGGAGATTGATTTGCGCAACAGATTCTCGCGTCTCTCCCGGTCAATGTCCTCGTATTTGCGTGGCTTTGGATCGCGAGATTTTCTGTGAATTTCAATGGTCTCTGTGGGGTCCACCACTGGATTCTGCTTCATCAGAGTTGACTGAATACCACCCAACTGACTGTAGACGTCGGTGGGTTCTGCAAGTTTATGCCCCTGGTGGAAGGAAATATAAACAAATAAATCAAAAGGGATATTTATGTTATTATAGGACAATGGTAAATATTATATACGCGTGTGTGATGACACATGTGTGTGTGTGTGTGTGAGTGTGCCCCAAAAATATGGATATTTGAAAAATAAGTACCTCCCCAGAGTATAAAACTTCAAACTGGAATCCAGTGCCGATAGAAGGAACCTTTCCCCATGACAAAGCTTCAGCACTCCCTTGTAGAAGATCAACCGATCCCATCTTGGATGCTTTGACAAACACAGGCCCAGGATTCTGCATGCAATACCGATATTAGGGACGAATGAAGAGGGCAATTTGGTCCAAAAAAACTTGCTTGTTGGAAAGATGATGACAGTAATCACCTTTAGACATGCTAGCGAAAAAGGTGCAGAGACTGAGCATGCTTTTCTTTGGTCTGCCAGCCCTTTGGCATTCAAAGCAACAAATTCTCCCGTAGCAGACAAGCAATCTGTGGTAAGGGCCAAATGCTCCGGAAGTATATCCTTTTCAGCATCCGACATTGCAGAGCTTAGACGCTGAAATATAAAAATGTTTATTTTTCTTAAGAGGATTCACAGATTTCACATTCAATGCATGGTGCACGTTTGATGCACGTATAGCGCACGCCACTTTTCTTAGACGCTTTTGCCCTTTTTAATATACCCACGTTTGATGCACGTATCGAGAACATTTTCCACTTTTGGTCACTTTCAAGTTTCTGCACGTTTGGTGCACATGCTTCTCATTCAATGATACTAAAATCACAGTTGTAAAAAATGAGCACTTTCCACATTTGGTCCCTCAGTTTCCAATTGTTTCTCACCGGAAAAGTGGTTCCAAATGAGCCAAATTGCAAAGAACCTTTTGGGGGTCCATATATCGTGGATAAAAAATGAAAAATGGACCAAAACTCACATTTAAGAAGGAATTCCACGCAAGGTCTATGCCGAATGTCTGGGAAATGTCCTGGATATCATCTGGATGGCTGCGCTGCCAATCAATCAAGCCCATAATTGGCAGGCAGCTATCAACAAGGATAGGCCAAAATTTGGTTCTCACACACTTCTCTGACATTGAAACCTGCAAACAAAGTTCTCCAGAAGCTCCCTTCGGACCTTCTTTCCATAAGATGTCAACCTTCTTAAATGCAGAGAAGCCTAAAAAACAAAGGGTGGATGAATCAACTTTAACTCTTTGGACCTTAAAATTTCTTTGGGGGGAAAATATTTGAAACCTTTAATGACAGTTCCAAGTAAGAATGGCTTGACAACATCCCGAAGGGTATCGTATCCTGAAGAGGATTCTTCTGAGCTTTCATCAATTGCAGCTGAAATGCAATCCTCTCTCTCTTTCTTAAGAGAACAATCCCTGTCAATAACACCCAAAATTAAGAGAAAAAAGCATATTTGTATATCTAGTTTTCCATGTATTTGTATTCTTTATATTTTTAACAAATTTGGGGAAAAGTGAATCCTTACGTGCAAGTTATGTGCAGTTTGGGAAATTCAAATTTCGCCTTAGCTTTTGTGTCTGCGCAATGCATGCTCAGGCCACTGGCGATGGATTGAACCTTTATACCTTTCCTCTTAGCAAGTTCCTGTGCAAAAAAAAACATGATGAAACTAGTAGAAACACGAAATAATAATAAAAGGGAAACAACTGTATCATTACATTGTTGATGTGAAAATGGCACAGCCATGGGCTCCTTCTCTTTCGACAAGTCTCTGGGGAGAAGCTAGAATTTATTCATGTAGAGTTATTGTTAGGTTGTTACAAGGTAAAGAATACCCAAGAGAAGAAAACAAGAAAATTAAATAAATAAAAACCAACCAGATCAATACAGTAGATACAATGTCTGAAAACAGCATTCTTTCCAAATGCCTTTTAACTTCCCAAGCACCGTATTCATATCCATTGCAATACTTGACAAGTTTCTTGGATAAGTATAATGATGCTGTTTTTCCACCGATATTTCTTTTTGCCCCGGATTCAAGCACTTTCTGTAGTCATATATATATTACATTACAATTCAAGTCTGTTAAATATTCCAAACAACAGAAAATAACGCATCTTGAGAGCATTATTACTACTTATTCAACAAATTCAATGATTATTGAGAAGATGAAGAGGGAGTAGAGAGAACAATACCTTCAGGTTCATCAGAGGCGATGGCTCAAGAATACTCACAGGTTGATCCAAGGCACTATATGCGGCTTCAGAGAGCGCACAAGCTGCCAACGAACCAACAGGATGACCTCCCACAACATCCTGACTAAATGATTTTGACGCGTAAGAAAATTGAACCACATGGTTCCCATGCTTGTTTCTAACAGTCCCATCATAACCGATGTACAGATCGCGCATGAAGAACATGAGGTTACGTGTCAATGTTCCTGAAACATCCGCATTACCACCAAAGGAGCCCTCCCTTGTCACCAATGAATGCACAAAACCTTCAAGTGGGTTTAAACCAGTGAGAAAGGAGTTTTCCACCACGGCGCACGGGAAGTGGGGTCCAGAATGTTCTGGAATGTTCCGCGTCGGAGAAGTAAGGTGGTAAGGGATTTGAAACCCCAACGTGCAGGATGCGTGCAGTAAGCCAAGACACATGCTGTGCTGGACGGCTTTAAGAAGGTTTCCTTTGCTTCCTGCCTTCAACATGGCAAGCAAAGAATTCTCATTGCTTGCATACACATAAAAGAGACTCTGGATATCCCTAAATCCTCTCTTGAAGGAAGATATGGAAGCCTGATTTTGCCCAACCCAGTTCATCTTCTTTTGTTGAACTTGAAAATCAAAAGATTCTTCATTTTCTAGATATGCCCCAGTGAGAAAATCTTGGTTGTCTTCAATCAGCATCTGGGAAATTGAAGACAGAGTCTCTGCCTCTCTCAGGCCATAAGAAATCTCATCAAGGAGGTTCTTACGGGTTACCGGATCATCCGACAGATAAAGATCGGATAGAGAAATGCTTAACCCCCTCATGGATAACCATTCACATAGAGCATCTTGTGCAGCATTCAAGAACTGAAGAGCTTCTCCTCCACAATGCATAATAAGACTGTGCACAAGATTCTCAGAAGTCCTATCCCTAAGCCAAGTAGACCCACTAGAGGACAAAACCTCTCCTTGGCTAACACAGACACTGTCTGACTGAAATTTATAATCAAAGTTTCCCGGCAAAAACATGCTGAAAAACTGTTTCCCTGTCCATGCACAAGACCTGCACGACAACCCTTTGATGATGGCAGGAACAGGCAACTTTCCCTGTCCATTGCAGAACATGCTTAGCTGCTGCAGCTGAAAATGGTCAAGTAAAACTCTGCCCTCAAGTAACAAGTGTGCAGCTGTTAAACTGTCATGACTAAGTGACAAAAGATTCCTCCCATTCTGCCGGTTAGTGAGCTGCTTATCCAAAGAAATGAGCTCCTGAAGCTCCACCTTAGAATCAATGGACTGAGGAACAAAACCGTGGAGGCAATCACCGTCAAAGTCTCCACAAAGGGGGGAACAGATAAGAGGGTTTATACTGAGAACAGAGCTCAGAGGAAGGACTTTGACAAAAAGAGCAATAAGAGAGTGTTGATGGATAGACGGAGGCCTGTTTATTAACACCACATCTCCATCGACAAGTGGCCTATAAACCATATCACCCTTTTGCAAATTCTCCAATGCTGTGACTCTAATCAGCTCGCCATTTCTCCTGACAATGACAAATCCCTTTTTAAGAATGATGAAATCGCATGTCTCGGTCAACTTTTCAGCATTAAGTGGTGTCAACTGTTCACCGACCTGGAGATTCTCTGCCACATAGCATGGCACACCCAGTTCATTCAGATGGAGCTTTGGGTCTCCAACCACAACCATCCGGAAGGCATGGTCTGTACGCTTTCCGATTATGAGTTCTTTAATGAACTTTAAACCAGAAGCTGTTGATATGGTGTCTTGGTTTGCTTTGGTGTTTGCCACCCTTAGCTGCAATGTTATATTTGATGTGTTGGAATTTTTTTCTAGTTCCAAACAGACCCTAAATGACAAAGGGTTTTGAAATCTTACCTTTGTTATCTTGGTGCAATCAAGAACGCGAATGCTTAACTCATTTGCGGTTCCTTTGAAATCAATCAGCTTTTTATAAAGCCCATTCCTTTCGTCCTAAAACATGAAAATAACTCATTTTTAATTTCAAGAAATGTGTGAAATTTGAAGATGGACAATAATAATACACCCTTCAAACCTACAAATAGCATGTCTTGGCGAAATTCAATTATCCGGTGACAGTTGGGAGTCAATAGCAAACAGTTTAGGAATATAGAACTTTTTCTTTTGAATGTTGCATCAAGAATCACTGGATCAACTTCTTTTAAAATAGAGTGGACCTGAAAACAAATTAGATACAGAAAAATGTTGCTTTTCAGATACGTTTGCAGAGAGATGATGATTTAGGAATGCATTTTTCTACTACCTGTGCATGCGATAAAAATCTTTGATTTGATTCCAAATTTTCTTCTAGCGCTTTAGAACACTCAACTAATGTGCTAAAGCCTTCTGCTTGGGCATCACGAGGTATTATGTCCCAAAAGTCGGGAGCCAACCCATATTTCTTCATCAACTTTTCGTTCACCTCTGCTATAATGGCAGTCCTCTTGAAGATGTTTCTAGGGGACACTTTAAATTTTAATGGTGGATAATTTTTGAACTTTGCCTGTATTATATTCAACAAAAAACGAGGTTGTAATGAACAAAGCAAGAGGAAAAGCTTAGTGAAGGACTCTGGGAATGCCGAAATCACCCTTCAAGATAACTAGGGTAGCCTCCACATACTAATCTTAAGGGTACTTTCGTCAAATCTATAGCATTCTGAATCAATCAAACTTACATCACAATACTTGCAAAACTTCCACTGGGATTGCCCGGATTCGGAAGCAGCAATCTGAAAAAAAAAACATTCAGCTTTAAAATGCTATATGATCATAAACATAATATAAAATTTAAGTATAACCGAATTTCTTGAATTAAAATTTCATTTCTACAGATTAATGAAGAAAAAGTGAAAGGCTGTTCATTTAATGACAACTTGTCTCCCAACAAACAAAACAAGGTAGCATTAAGTTCTCCCTTCCTCCCCAACCCAAACACACCTTCAGTAATTTTGCTAAATACATTTTAGATGCCAAGCAAAAGGTGTAAATTTGAATATGATTACTAATTTACCATCTGATAAACACACTAATACCTGACCTTGATCCTGCTACGGCGCACAGATTTACATCCCGGGCAGATTTTGTTCAGAATTTGAGCAACTTCAGGTAAGAAAAATGGATTTATAATAGTGTAGGGTAAATTGATTAGACCAAAGTGCCCTGAAAAAGGTCAAAAGAAAATGCACATTAATAAAAACAGAGGAACTACAACTACAAAACAGCATTCATCACAATACATATTGTTTCCCTTCAGACCTTCACACTCTTTTGCATCTTTTGTGCTGCGTTTACTTCTCATATCCGTCACATTAGAGGATCGCTTTGGATCCTGCACTCCGCATGTATGGCACTTAGAAATTGAATTTGGCAACCCCAGAGCGGGGTCCGTTACTTCACTCACTACTCCTACCACCTTAGCTGAAATGTTTGCCTGCAGATACAAAATTAAAAAAAACAAAAACAAGTTATCAAGCCATAACTGTGGATGAAGAAATTAATCCTTCTTGAAAACCCGCCTGAAAAGACTCAAACAGTCAAACCAACACACAGAGGGGAAAAACAGAGAAATTAACAAAAACAGAAAATTTTGTTAGTCGACAAATACAACCTTAAATCCTCCAAGCATATCTACACATAGCAATCATTAAAATAAACCAAAAAAGAAAGATGGATAGCCATTTAGGAAATACTTACAGCATCGGAAGCCGATAGGATGTCAAAATTAATGGCCCTTAAAACACCAGATCTTACTGGTTGCTCTATTTCCAGATCACACTCCATCACGAGCAGTTATAGATCTGAAAAAGAAAACGATGAACAAATAGTATAAATATAATCTCAACAAATCAAACACAAGTGAAATTTCAATTGATTAAGAAAAAAATGTATAACATACTAACAAAGCTGTCAATGATCTGAGTTATCAATTCACAATCTACGCTCGCATTCGGGATACGGAGTATATTTCAGCTTCTACAGAACCAGAGCAAGTTCAGAGCACTGGAGACTATCGCAAATCGATTACCGAACAGTGAAAAGGCGATGAACACAGCAATGAATAGGCTGAAATAAGTGGGAATCGTGGGATACGGAGAAAATTGCAGAGGTAAAACGATCTGATATTGAAAAGAGGAAACAATCTTGTGCGGTGGAGGGGGGCTTAACACCTAAGGCGGAGATTCCGAGGCATGTAACGGGGTTAAACTTTTCCCGTTAGAACTGGTAAGAAGTTCATACACGTAAATAACAGCAACATCATAAACCATCCACACAAAATCACCAAATAAATTGTGCAATTATTGAGATTTTCTTTTCTAATAAATGGAAGAGCAAAAAGAGAAACCTTTGAAGAAATATACCTGATTAGGATGGTAGTAAATGGGTGGATGGATCAAAGGGTAAAATAGACCTTTACTTTTCATTTAGATGCCAAATTATGGAAAGGGGAAGAAAGAGAAGGGACGGCCCAAAAAAGAAACTGAGAAGTTTCAAAGAGGACGGAGGGAGTAGTATACTACGAAAAATATGTGTGCGCTCGCCGCTTGCACGAGACACGCACGAAACACGCCACATTAACCCCATTAAAACATGCAATAATGTGTCTTATAGGCTCTAACACATTCATTGGTCATGTATTGTAAGTGTGCCACACAAATAGCCAATTAAAATGTATTGTACTCCCTCCATCCTCTTTGAAACTTCTCACTCTGACTTGGCATGGATTTTAGTGTAAGATGATAAAGTTGTGAAGTTTCCAAGTTTACCCTTTGTACTCTCTGTGTCTTTCTTTTTCAGTAACCCACCCACTCCTTCCCTGTGCCTCAAACCAACCTTATCCTCTTCATCTAAAACCTCAAACTCACCCCTCACCATTGCCCACCCTTGCGTGTCCTGCCTGTGCCCACTAATATCAAACTCAAAATTCTTTTTTTTAACCACAAATTTGCCCCAGCAAAAGGAAAACAAAATCAAATACGAAATCAAAATCAAATTTTATTACATTTAAAAAAAATCAAATCAAGGGTAATGCCAGAAATTTGGTGTTCTTCACCTTTTAGCCCTCACTCCTTTAGTTGTTGCCCCTCCACCGCCTAAGGTAAGGCTAAAAATCAAAATTGAATCCTTTTCAATTTGGAAGAACGAAAAAGAACTAAGCAAGGAGAGACCGATTTGGAAGAAGATAGAAGAAGATCTAGAAAAAGAACAAGGAAAAGAAAGGAGATTTGGGGTGGTTTGATGAAATGGGTTGGGATTTGGCGTTTGCTAACGAAGAACAGAGATAGAGGGGTTGGATAATGAAGAACAGAGAGAGAGAGGTGTATGGAATATGTGAATAGTTCTAATTAAGAGGCTGGGTGGGGAGATCTGATTAGGATGATAGTAAATGGGTGGATGGATCAAAGAGTAAAATAGACCTTTGCATTTCATTTAGTTTCCAAATTAGGGAAGTGGGAAAAAAGAGAAGGGACGGGCCAAAAAGTAAACTGATAAGTTTCAAAGAGGACGGTGGGAGTAGTATGCTACGAAAAACGTATGTGGGCGCACGCAAGCGACCTGCACGCATACACAGATATGGAAATAGAGTATTATAAATTAATTCTCAGCAAGATTGTGTAACATACTAGTAGCACTTTCAATGATGAACCTGGATGAAATGACTCACGATCTATACTTGCACTCAGTGGTCATGGCAGATCAGAAAAGTGGTGGTCATCAAGACTGATTCTCTTGATTTGACCCCGAGTATTTGCGTATGAGAACAGTATTTGAGTTTCAGCTTCTAGAGAACCAAAGCAAGTTCAGAGCCATGGAGTCTATGGTAAATCGATTACTAAACAGTGACGAGGCGATGAGCACAGCAGTGATTAGCCTGAAATAAGTGGGATACGGAGAAAATTGCAGCGGTAAAACAATCTGAGCTTCAAAAGCAAGGAAGACGTACTTATTATAGGGGTATTTCATAGGGGTATTTCAGGGAAGTCAATGAGTTTTTGTGCTCCCCCTGGTGGTTTTTCCCCCCAGAGTCTGCTCTAACTATGTACCTTTGTTAGAGAAGTTTGAGGGTACATATTGTGGTGCGAAAGACAGAAAGTCCGTCATAGATGGTAAACTATGGGAACTAACTTCCTTTGGAGTATGCAAGAGAGAGTATGGTTCTTGTCGAACTGGGAACCAAAGTGACATAAATTCCCATGTAACTATTTTAGCATCCCAGTGTAGATTAGGAAATGAATCCTAATACTAACCTTATCTCATAAGTGGAGGAAGATGGGGAGAAAACCACTTGCGTTAAAGAGGGAAAAAAACCATTAAAACGTGCAATAATGTGTCTTATAGGCTCTAACACATTTATCGATCATGTATTGTAAGTGTGTCACATAAATAGCCAATTAAAATGTATTGTAGACTTGTAGTATACTACAAAAGAAATATGTGGGTGCACGCACAAGACACGCACGCATCACACAACATGCACGCACGACGCTCGCTATGTGCACGCATACATATCTATATGGAAATATAGAGTAGCATAAATTAATTATGCTAACAAAGCTGAAAAAGAAAAAGATGAACAAATAGTATAAATATAACGTACTAACAAAGCTGTCAGTGATCTGCTCAGAGTAATCAATTCACAATCTACGCTCGCCTTTGGGATACGGAGTATATTTCAGCTTCTACAGAACCGGAGCAAGTTCAGAGCACTGGAGACTATGGCAAATTGATTACCGAACAGTGAAGAGGCGATGAACACAGCAGTGAATAGGCTGAAATAAGTGGGAATCGTGGGATACAGAGGAAATTGCAGAGGTAAAACAATCTGATATTGAAAAGAGGAAACAATCTTGTGTGGTGGAGGGGGGCATAACACCTAAGGCGGAGATTCCTAGGCGTGTAACGGGGTTACACTTTTCCCGTTAGAACTGGTAAGAAGTTCATACAAGTAAATAACAGCAACATCATAAACCATCCACACAAAATCACCAAATAAATTCTGAAATTAATGTTTCTTTCTTAATAAATGGAAGAGCAAAAAGAGAAACCTTTGAAGAAATAGACCTGATTAGGATGGTAGTCATGGTAGTAAATGGGTGGATGGATCAAAGGGTAAAATAGACCTTTACTTTTCATTTAGTTGCCAAATTATGGAATGGGGAATAAAGAGAAGGGACGGCCCAAAAAAGAAACTGAGAAGTTTCAAAGAGGACGGAGGGAGTAGTATACTACGAAAAATATGTGTGCGCTCGCACGAGACACGCACGAAACACGCCACATGCACGCATACACAGATATGGAAATAGAGTATTTTAAATAAATTCTTAGCAAGATTGTGTAACATACTACAGCACCGTCAACGATCAACTTGGATGAATCAACTCATGATCTACACTTGCTCAAGATATAATTCAAGATTCTAAACCAATGAACCTCAGCCTAGAAAACAGCAACCTTAAAACAAAAATAAAGCCACATAAAACAAAAACCTTCAAATTTCTTTGAGAGCAAGGTTGCCGAACTTGTTATCCTAACTAGGATTGGAAGAGGGGTTGAAGATCGTAAATAGGAGATCTGAAAACCCAGAAAAGAAAAAGGGAAAAGCAAGAGCTTCTTCACCTATCAAGCAAAAGCATAGCAGTATTACACCCACACTGATGATCAAGAAAATTCAATATTATGTGCACAAGTTTGAGTGTGCAAATTATGGTGTGAAGATCTGGTGTTTTAAGGGCCATTAATTTTTTTCCCACATATTTTCTTGACCGATTCAAGACCGATTCTCTTGATTTGACCCCGACAGGTGGTCATCAAGACCGATTCTCTTGATTTGAACCCGAGTATTTGCGTATGAGAACAGTATTTGAGTTTCAGCTTCTAGAGAACCAAAGCAAGTTCAGAGCCATGGAGTCTATGGTAAATCGATTACAAAACAGTGAAGAGGCAATGAGCACAGCAGTGATTAGCCTGAAAAAAGTGGGATACGGAGGAAATTGCAGCGGTAAAACAATCTGAGCTTCAAAAGCAAGGAAGACGTTGTACTTATTATAGGGGTATTTCAGGGAAGTAGATGAATTTTTGTGCTCCCCCTGGTGGTTTTTTTCCCCAGAGTCTGCTCTAAATATGTACCTTTGTAAGAGAAGTTTGAGTGTACATATTGTGGTGCAAAAGACAGAGAGTCTGTCGTAGATGGTAAACTATGGGAAGTGGGAACTAACTTCCTTTGGAGTATGCAAGAGAGAGTATGGTTCTTGTCGAGCTTGGAACCAAAGTGACATAAATTCCCATGTAACGAATTTAGCATCCCGGTGTAGTTTAGGAATTGAATCCTAATACTAATAATAATAAGTGCCTTATCTCATAAGAGGAGGAAGATGGGGAGAAAACTACTTGCGTTAAAGAGGTAAAAAACCATTAAAACGTGCAATAACGTGTCTTATAGGCTCTAACACATTTATCGATCATGTATTGTAAGTGTGTCACACAAATAGCCAATTAAAAAGCATTGTAGTATACTACAAAAAATATGTGGGCGCACGCACAAGACACGCACGTACGTGCACGCATACAAATCTATATGGAAACATAGAGTAGCATGAATTAATTCTCAACAAGATTGTGTAACATACTAACAGCACTGTCAATGATCTACTTGGATGAATTGACTCACGATCTACATTTGCACTGAAGATACATTTAAAGATTCTAAGCCAATGAATATCAGCCTCAAAAACAGCAACTTAAAATAAAAACAAAGCCTCCAAAAAAACAGAAATCTAAGAACTTCTTTGCGAGCAAGGTTGTTAAACTCGATTGAATTTTGGACAGTCATTGAAATTGATGAAATTGGAAAGCAGTATAATATATTTGGAGGAATAATTTTTTATTTGGAAGAATTTCTTCTCATACACTTGAGGACAAACTCAAGGAGTGAATGACTCAATCACTCAATGATGACGAGGTGCTCCCTCAATGGGTTTGAATTATTATTTCTTCCTTTCGCGACAATGATGGGCAACAACCCATTCCCAATCCATCATGCTGTCTGCATATCTAGAGATTGAATCGGGCTGGGGTCAGGCGAATACTATATAATTCAAGATTCTCAACCAATGAATCTCAGCCTCTAACACCTTTATATCAGCTAGCCAAGATGACATGAATTCCCTAAAATTTTAAAAGGGGGTCACAACCAAAAATGGGAAACAATCTCATGCGGTGGAGATTCCTGGACGCATGACGGGGTCAAAAGGTTCCCATAACAACCGGTAAGAAGCTCATAAAACTAAATAACAGCAACATCATGAGCCATCCACACAAAATCACCAAATAATCTGTGCAATTATTGAGATTTCCTTTTTTACTAAATTGAAGAAAACAAGTGAAACCTTTGAAGAACAAAGGGTGCCACAGACAATGCATTAGTTAAATAAAAAATAATCAGTTAAAGAAACTGATGACAGAAATTACAACAAGAACAATAACAAAAATTGTGCTTGATAATAACAAGATCACCAAAGTAAATGTGCTATTATTAAGATTTCCTTTTTTTAATAACTTGAAGATAAAAAAAAGGAATGCATTGAAGAAAAAAGGGTGCCACACACACAATGCATAAATTAAATAAAACTGATCAATTAAAGAAACTGATGACACATGCATTACTGGATTATTTGTCCATTGCATAATTGTAACCAGAAACTGGTTATTCTTATTCTTTAATCTAAAACCCCAATTTGCTTTAAAGTTGGAAACAAAAAAAAAAATCGAATGCTGCCCACCATGCAAAACCTTTCTCACCCCCCCCCCCCAAAAAAAAAACACTTCTTTCCAAGAAATCACAATAACAATAATGCCAACCATAACTATTTATAATTCTAATTAAAACCCAGAAAAGAAAAAGGGAAAAAAAGGAAGAAAAAAGCAATAGCTTCTTCTCCAATGAAGCAAGAGCATAGCAGCATTAAACCCACATTGATGATGAAGAAAAACCAAGATTCTGTGCAGAAACAGAGCGCAAAAGGGGGAAAGCATAAGTCCATACCCACTCAAAAAAGCTCAACTCCTCGCAGCAATTTTCGCTCCTTTCTGGGTAAATTTTCCCTTCCTGCTCTAACTCTGTGCTGTGTACTGTGTACTTTTGCCAGAGAAGTTTTGGGTGCGAATTTTGCGGTGAAAAATGACCCGCCTGCGGGTTGAATGGTAAATAATGGGAAGTTGGAGGGGCATGGCAGGGTTACTTTGGACTGCACAAGAAAAAGAAAGAGAGAGAGAGAGGTTCTTTGTGGAGCTTGGAGGCAAAGGGACAGAGATTCCCAAGTACTCCTAATTTATAGCATCCCCATGTAATTTAGGAATTGAAGCCCCTAATGCTGACCTAATTGTAATTAGGGACATCATTAGTCATAATTAAGTGGAAGAGGCTGGGGAAAGAAATCATTGAAAAAAAGGTATGTCCTATGTACTAATGAGTACTTATAGACTTATAGCACATTCATTGCTCACGTATTGTAAGGTTGCACGGACCACGGAGGGACCTACTCTCACCCTCCCTACATGTTTGTCGTATTTTAAAAAAATGAAATTTTTAATTTTTTTAATTTATTTTATTTAAAATTTGTGTAGAAATAAAAAATAAAATTTATATATTTAAATGCTATGTCAAGAGTTATTTAGAATAAGAGATGACAAGAATATTTTATTTTATTAACGATCAATCAAAATGTAGAAATAAACAAAAGTTTTCGTGATTTTGGAATAATCAAATTTGACATTTCTTTTGGAGAGAGGGAGTACAAACACCCACAAAAAATAAGGAGTATGGAGCATAGTTTTAAGAACCGGACCGGACCGGCCGGTTCGGACCGTGAACCGGCGAACCGGTGGTCTAACCGGTCCGGTCCAGCCCATTGGACCGTAACCTGCTTCGAACCAGCCCGAACCGGTGTGAACAGGTAAGAACCGGCCGGTCGGACCGGTCCGCTCAGTTTTTTTTTTTTTTTGCTGATTTTTTCCAAAACATTCCTCCATGGGGGTTTGAACCCAAGACTTCTTAGACATTTGGTTGAGCTCCTAACCATCCAAGCAATGATGCTTTTTGTTTCAAGTTCACATAATCTCTTATAATATTTCATAATTACAAAAAAGATTGTACTCTGTATATAAATTTTCAATTTTATAAATATAATATTATATAGCTATGAGTCAAACACAAAATCATTGATATTATTGAAACTATTACAAAATGCAAATCATGCAAAGATTTCATGTTTTTTAATATTAAACAACTTATTTGAAAAAAATAAAATCAACTCTTCATTTATAATTCTTTTATATTTTTTTAATATGTAAATTTTATTTTTTAATTTAATAAAATAACTCAAGTATATTAATATAATATTACTTAAATGTTATAAATACTTTCTTTAGATATTTATAAATGAGAATGTGTGTGTGTTTATATGTATGTGTGTGTGTGTGTATATATATATACATATACATACACACACATATTTATTTATTTATTTATATTTATATAATTTTTAAATATGTTTAAACCACCGGTTCGACCAGTTGAACCACTGGTTCGACCAGTGAACCAGTACCTTGACCGGTTCGGTCACCGGTCCGGTTCTGAAAACTATGGTATGGAGTACTTTTCCAATGCTAAAAAAATCCCTCTTCTTAACAAGTTTTGATCATATATTTTCACTTTTTAATACTTTCTCTGTTCCAAATCTAATTACAATTTCTCATTTACGAGATAAAATCATGCATTTTATAAAATTAACTTCTTTTGAAATTGGTCTAAGAATAATTAATAAAATTTACATATAAAAATTCTACAAAATAAGAGTGTGATAAAAATATTTTATTTTATCAAATAATCAATGAAAGTATACAAACAAGTAAAAATTTGCTTATGTACATTAAGAAAAAGAACATGTGCTTAAAAAATTCTCTCTTATCAAATTTTGATCATAGTTTTTATTTTTCATTACTCAATCCAGTTACACGATTTAATTATCAATTTTGTGGGATAAAAATCAAGCCATGTAATTGGTATCAAGCCATAAAAATCATAGTTTGACTTCCTAGACTACCCCAGATCAATTCTGTGAACTTTTTATGTTGCGTGATACATGGGTTACACGATTTAATTATCTAAATACGAAATTGCTACATGATTAAGTATGTTAAAATTGTGACATGAACATATGTTGATTGATGCATAAACAATATAGATTTCAGAAACATATGTAAAATATTGCATATTAAACTATAACATCTCAATAACATAATCGCAAATGGTTTTTGGAACAAAAATCTAAAGAAAATTTTCACAAGTGTTTTCTGGTAGAACACTCGTACGGGTGTTTGTGTTTGAGCTATTTGTGAATGTAGTGTCATTGGCTATTTTATATATGTAATTAGATTTACTTTTGTTAGACGTAAATTTTAATGTAAAATTTGTACTAAATAGGACTAAAACATAATGACTTTCCCAATGTAGGACTTAAACTTTTTTATTCTCTAAATAGGACTTAATAATGACCTCGTGGGAGGAATAATGTTCAGTAATGATGGACATTTACTTGAATAATGACTACCTGATAATGACCAAAAGTCCTACATTGGGAAATAAAAACATATGGTCTTATATTGGGAAAGTCATTATGTTTTAGTCCTATTTAAGTAAATTTCTCAATTTTAATATGCATTATTTACGAGTTTGGCAGCACAGAGTGCACACTTATTTAACGATATTACACATTCCATAACGGCGTCAGGGAGTATTCAAATACTAACACTCAAAATTTGAATATTAACATTATGTTTCTAAACTTGTTTGTTTCAAATCTTTACCTTTATATATGAAAATTCATAGAAACACTTTCATATCAATATGAATTTTTAATAAACTCTTTTTTAAAAATCTCTACTTTTAAGTTTTATGTATGAAAATTCATAAAAACACTTAACAATATGAATCATTATGTTGGGTTCAAATCTTTACTTTTATGTTCGAAAATTCATAAAAACACTTTCTTATCAATGTGAATCTTTAATAAACTCTTTTTAACATAAGATTTGTAGTTTATCCAATTGGCCATGTGTTACTAGGAACCCCAATTTATATTTCATCAGTTTACCCAAACAAACATTATTATTCGTAAACAAAGTTTATTAAAATGTGCATAATATGATATGGGGTACATGTTAAGATGCACATATATTAAATAAAAGATGCATATATAATAAAATTTATTAAAATATTTATATACATCAACGCATATCATATGCATTATATATATACAAATATTAGTCAGTATAACTTTAGATTGTATACTTGTATACAAGCTCGTACAAAGAACAAGATATAATACATTTCAAAATTCTCAATCAATGAATCCCAGCCACATAATATCCTTAGATCTACTAGCCAAGATTACTTAAATTCCCTAACATTATGTTTGGTTCAAAAAATATGGAATGAAAAGAAAATATATTAGTTTTTTTTCATGCACTTTCCTCACCAAAATAGGAGGAATTTCGTTTTTTTCCTCTTAGTTCATTTTGTCTTTTTATTTTTTTCTCCACTCTTTTTTTCTTTTTCTCTCTAGGCAAAGAAGAAAAAATGTTTTCTGTCTAATTTTTTTTCTTTTTTCCTTTCAAATTTCATGAACCAAACATAGTGTAAAAGAAATCGAATTTGGCATTGCTAAAACGGGATCTGTTACTTCATTCATTCACTAGAAAGGTGTTTGGGAGTGCCGTGACTTCTTGAAAAAGTAGAAGTAATAAGTAGAAATTTGCACTTTTTAATTCATAATCCATTAGCTGAAGCTTGAAGGTTGTTCTCAAACACAATCTCAAACATCCTCTACTTCTAGCTACCACCTTTGTGAAAATGTTGTCTGCAAATAAAAAAAATGTAATCAAGCAATAGCTATGAATTAAGGAATTCATCCTTAGTGCTTTTTATGTCAAGTTGAAGTAACATATAGTGTAGGGTGTTTAGGAGTCCAAACTCTACTCCCTCCGTCCCTAAATGTTTGCTTCAAAAAACGGCGCAAAGTATCAAGTTTTTTCAATTCATTTTATTTAAATATTGGTATAGAAATAAAAAATAAAATAACATATTTAAAAACTACATGAAAAAATTCTTCAAAATAAGAAGTGTCAAAAATATTTTACTTTATCAAATAATCAATGAAAACGTACAAATAAACAAAAGTTGCCATTATTGTTGAAAAAGGAAATGTGACAAACATTTTGAGACAGAGAGAGTATTATCCAAGTGCTCTTTATGTCAAGTTGAAGCTACATATAGTTTAGGAGTCCAAACTTCTATTATCCTAAGTCTCTTTCTAAAAGTGTTCTCTTGATGCCCTAACATAGCACAAAAATGGCAATTTGAAGGTTTCCATTCATAATCAACTCATTGCTTTACTCATTCACGTATTGCACTAGTGTGATCTGCATTAGTGTGATCTGCATACATGTATGTCCAAAGTGAACCATGACCTTTTTAAAGTTCAGACATTATTGAGTTGCTCTATTTTTCTATATGGACCAAAAGGATAGTTCATGAGGTTTTTTCTTTAGCTTGAGGATCATCTTTGGGTATTTCACATAGACAAGAAAATGTGAAAAGTAACATCTAATCATTTGCGTATATTTAAAGCGGATAGATATAAACAATAGTGTACCTGCATCATGTTGTCAGCTTTATGTTTCTTGACATGGCCCCAATGCCATGCTAGAACTGCAAAAATTCCCTCAAAAGCATTAATCCATATGAACCTTTTTGCTTGTACTTATCATGTCATTTAGGGAAACCTTAGGCTTCACGCCAAATTTCATCATGCTGTTTAAAACAATTTGAGCATCGGCCCATTTCCCATCGTTCCAAAGAACCTCTATAGTCAAGTGATAGCTAGCAGAATTTGGAACCATTCCATTGTCAACCATTTCCTTGAGCAGCCTCAAGGCCCGATATGAGTTTCCCTCTTTGCAGAACCCATAGATCATTGTATTATACATGACACTGTTGGGTTCCATCTGCATTGATTTGAATAGCTTTGATGCCTCCTTCATTTTGCCTTGATCACACCAACCACGTAGCAAGACACCATATGTGTGCATATCTGCAACCAAACCGGCTTTATCCATGAAAGAAACCATTTCAAGTGCTTTATCCATGTTGTTAGATCGGGCAAAAGCGTCAATCAGAATCGTGTATGTCACCTTTGAAGGAGAGACACCTCTCTCCTCCATCTCACGGACTAAATCAAGAACTCTGTGTGGCTTATGTGATTTAGATAAACCTGCGATGAGAGAGTTGTATGTGATTAATGATGGGGATAAGCCACAGGACTTTACATGATTGAACAAGTTCAGTGCTCTCTCTATCTTCCCGGATTTGCAATACCCATCTATTAGGATGTTAAAAGTGATCACATTAGGGGCAAATCCATCACTCTTCATCTGGGTAACCAATCTCTCAGCATCCGCCATTCTCGCCTGCCTGCATAATCCTCTAGTTAAGGTATTATACGTCACAACATTGCATACAACCCCTCTCTCGCGCATTTCGTCAAACAGTTGAAAAGCAGCATCTATTCGTCCCTCATTGCAGTGGAGATTGATCATGGAGCTGTATGTGTATGTGTCTGGGTACGCACCGTCAAGCTTCATCCTCTCATAGAGCTCAAACCCATCTCTTTTTGCCTCATTCTTGAAACACCCATTGATAAGAGCAGTATAAGTGAACTGATTCGGAACAAGCCCTAACTGTGGCATTCTATCGAACAACTCCCTTGCCTGTTTTAAATTGCCATTTTTACAACACCCGTCGATCAGAGTAGTGTACAAGACAACATTTGGACACAAACCCATAGCCTCACACTGTCCAAAAACCTCAAACCCCTTACTCAAATCTCCAGCCTCACAACAGCCCTTGATCACAATCCCGAAACTGTACAGATCCAAGGCCAAGCCCTTCCTCTTCGAGTCCTCGAAAACCCCCAAAGCCTTCACATAATTCCCACTCTTTACAAGGAAATCAAGAAGACAGTTGAGAGCATTCGAGTTGGGTGCCTTCATATGGCTGAAGAAGAAGACGGCTTGATCTGGTAACTGGGCCTGCACGTGAGCAGAGACGATGGATTCACAGAGGGAAGCAGAAAGGGGGAACCCAGTGTGGGCGATGAGATAATGAAGAAGAGAAGAGGCCGTGAAATGGGGGGAAGTGATTTTTCCGGCGAGAAGCTGCTGGATGAGGGATTGAGCTTGGGAGGTCCTGTTGAAGCTCAGGAGATGGTGGATGAGCGCTGATACAGATTGGTGGGTGTGATTCAGTCCTTGCCGGATCGATGATTCGAAGCGGGAGAGAGCTTTGAGTGGTGGCAGTTTCAGAAGATTGGAAATGAGAACGGAAGCTTCGTTTTTGCTTTGCGCGGCCGCCATGGGATCGCCTGAGTTTCACTTTAAGATGGGCTGACGCCGACGGGAGAAACGCCGGAACTACTTCCTAGTGAGGATGGAGGTAGGATGAAATGCTAAAATTTTTAAAACTATCCTCTCTATGTATTTACTTCAAAATTATTCATATTTTTATACTCCGTACTATAGTACCTTTTGTCTTAGAACATGATTAATAATTAAATTAAAATTACTCCGTATTATCTATATCCTTCAATACTTATTTAATTTTGATTTTTTGCAATCGAAATTGATTAATTCAGATCGATCTCAATAATTGCCTCAGTCAACTCGAAAGTTAAAATGTCGAGCTCGACTAGCTCGAGGCACGGTTTAAAGGTAAGCTCATCTTAATTAGATGGTACAATTTTTGTTCAATTCAAGATATGCTTACCAAAACAGTTCATACAATCTTTTCTTTTCAAGTGAGGGTTCCTTTTGGTGAGCATATGATATATAAAATCTGATATCTCCCAATATTAGAACTCATACCTTTCTTTTAGATTTCATAAATCATATTATATCATACTTTTAAATTCTAAAACTCACCAAACAAATCTTAAATTTGTAGGCTTTAGTCTATCTTTTGTGTGTTTATTTTTTAAATATCCATAATTCCAAAATATTTTTAAAAAATTTTTTTAAAAAAAGATATATCAAACTGACAAACTCCATGCTCTTTCAAGCCAAACTTTGATGTGTTGGGATGAACGGGTTAAGACTTAAGATAATAAGCCAAATTCAAACTTGAGCTAAACTTTTTAGGTCGAATTTTAAACTAGGCTCGAGAGTTAGCCCGCTTCACGTGCTATGATTAATTGATGGATAAAGCCACTTGTACCCCAACCGTATGCACTATGTATCCCACTTTGTATCCCATAGGTTTGGACCGATATTTTGTGTTGGTGTAAAATTAATTTTTGTTAACGCATAAATACTTTGTGTTCGTGTAAATTTTTGTTAACGCACCAACATTTGTGTTGGTGTAAACCATCAAAATGTTTATATATAACTGCGGTGTACAAATGGGGTATAATTTTTGGTGTAAATATAGTAGATTAATACTTTAATAGAAACAATTCAGTGTCACGGACCCACGGTTTGAGATCTTCAAATCCTAAATTTTGAAAATCTGTTTTGCACCATTTTTAAAAATTGGACGATTTAAATCATATTACTCCGTATAATTTATTAAAATTATCTGTGTTGGTATTTTTACCAAAAAATTTATCGATATTTTAACGGTTCACACTAACACAAAATATTAGTCTAATTATAAAATTTACATGAATATCTTTTGTCAAATGTAAATCATCATACTAGCATTAAAATAACATTAAATGTCGGTATATGCATTTAGATACAAAGTGAAATACTCTCTCTGTCCCAGACTATTTGTCCACTTTCATTTTATCTTGTAATTTGTTTAGTTAAAAAATTATAAAAATTATATATTAATAATCTATATGTTAAGACAAATCAAACAAGATCACGCATGACTATATTTAGGCTTACACATTGAGAAAATTTGGTGAGTCAAAGTACTTAGATGAACAGTTCCAAAAATCAAAACTGGACGAATGCTCTAGGGCGGAGGTAGTACAAAATTTGGTGTACAAATACTCTATTCAGTCTATTGTGTTCAAATACTCCTGCATCCTCAAAACAAAATAGCCTCAATTGGAAATTCTCTGGGCTTCATCCTCAAAACAAAATAGCCTCAATTGAAAAAAATATACGAAGTACCAACTCGCTGCAACCAGCCCGTCATCACCGGATCCCGAACGGCGACATATCTCCGGCTGCACGCGATTTCTTCACGGCTGCTTCGTTGGTCAAAACGTCTCTGGTATGTGATAAATCTATTCTTTTTTCACTAATCGATTTTAATTATTAGCTTTTTGTCTCAATTACATCTTCAAATTATAAAACCGACCTGAATTTCTCATTTCTACATCCTTTTGAGCTTTTCTGGTTCATTTAGTCTTCTTTGAATGCTAAGAGTTACTAAGGGGTGTTTGGCTAGGATACATTTTAAAAAGGAGCTTTTGGGCTAAAGGAGTTTTATTAGAAGTGTTTGGTAAAGAGTTTTTTTTTTTTGGGTGCCAAAAAAGCTTGTTTTCAAGATTTCTAGAGCAACCCAAACATGGCCTTGGAACAACTAGTGGTGGTGAGATAGCTAGCATAAATGAATATGAAAGAATCAATCTCAATGAATATTTTTATGATTTAAATTTAAAATTTAATATTCCATATGATCAATCATTTTGGATATTATTGTTGAACTAAAATCAAATTCTTAAATGTAATTGCTTAAAAGAGCTATTAAAAGTAGTTAGTTAATATGGAGTATACTAACTATACAAAAAGATATTATTATCCTCTTGGAGCAGGAAAGTGATCTCAATGGGGAGGTGGGAAATTGGGGATTAAATTCCGCTTTAAAGTGCCACCAAAACTCCCCAAGGGTTAGAACTTAGAAACAGAAAGTACGTCCAAATGTGAGCTCATATAGCTTTATTTTATGTGTATTGTTGAATGCTACTTGGGAGTATATGTTATTGTGTAAGTTATGACTATATGAGAAGTTAAACCTTTATTATTTTGAAGTTATGATCATTGTATGTTAATATCACTGGTATTACCATTAAAGTTGAACGGGTGCTTTCACTGGTATAGGTTCAATTCTGAAAACGAGAATAAAACGTGTGAAGTGAGACTGGGACTACATCTGCATCATCTTCTTCAGTCCAGCAATGCTACAGTGTTTCACTGTTTCGAGTTTCGCTCCATTGACTCAAACCCCTCTCACAGGTTTCTTTTTAACTTTGTTTTATCCTTGGTTATAAGTCCATTGCTATAGAGTCATTTTTTACGATGTTTTAACTCTAGGTAAATAAAAGATTAGATCAAAGTGACACATTAAACTTCTCGCGCATCTTACTTTCTATGAAATTCTGGAAAGTAAATGCATCATATCTGCTTTTTAATTGCAGTGGTTCCGTAGCCACTGGCTTACGGAGCCACTGCCTTTTTGGAGCACCTCCACTGCAATGCGGCAGTTGCAACCGGAGGTGCTCCAAAAAGGCAGTGACAGTGGCTACGGAACCGCACCCTTTTTTTAATAGGGGTAACATCACGTACACCTTGACCTTTAGACCCAAATTACTTGGGATTATACAGGGTCTGTTTTTTCTCTTGTCCTTGGTCATAAATTATCTTTTTGTTTGAATTAAACTCTATTTGCCATTTGAGACTTTCTAGGATTTTGGTAATGGATTCTTCTTTTGGTTTTCTCTTTTGTCTTGCAAACAACCTCTGTTCTACTTCCAAGTAGGGATACCAAGTAGGGATAAGATATGCGTACACCCTCCCTCCTCCCAAGACCCTACTTCTTGGGTTTCTTTTGGGTTTGTTTGTTGTGTTGTTGTTTCGTTTTTTCTTTTGGTAATTCTGTTGAGTTTTTGTGTTCTTAGGTTCTTGCCCAGACAAAGTAGAATTTCTGAAGCCCCAGGTAGTCATTTCACCCATCACACCTATAATTTCTTCTTTATAATCCAACTTTACTTAATCCTTGTGCTATAAATTATACTCCGTATTATCTGTGTTTTGAATTTACGCCGGGGTGTCTTGGAAATATAGCCTCTATACTTCCAAGTAGGGGTAAGTCAACTGCGTGCTGTTCATGGACCAGCGAGTAACTCATTGAGTCTGTTCTTTTTATGGCTAAAGTTTTGTTCTTTGACTGCAGTCTATATCTAAACACCGTTCTCCTTTTTTGGCAAGACGAAATGGGATTTTCGTGTGTCTTGATAGGACACCACCCCCTCAAAGGACAAAGAAACACGGTGGTCCTCAGAACGTGGATTTCCCTCCGGTTCTGCCAAAGAATAAGAAGAAGCCATATCCCATACCTTATAAGAAAATCAAGGAGGCTGCAAGGGCTGATAAGGAACTTGCACAGATGGGAATCGAGAAGCCTCTTCTTCCCCCCAAAAACGGGCTGCTCGTGGAGGATTTGGTTCCGGTTGCTCGCGAACTATTAGAGACTTGGAAGATTCTAATCAAAGGCGTAGCGCAACTCCTTCACGTTGTCCCCATCCATGCTTGTAGGTAAGATTTCAAGAGGTTTTGTTATTTCTTGATACTTCTCTTCCAAGACCAAACTTATTCTTAGTGTTTTGTCAACATTTCTTACAACTCTATTTCTTTCCTATAATGCATTTTTAGAGAATGTTCAGAAGTTCATATTGCTGAAAGGGGTCATGAGATTCAAGATTGCCGCGGCTCAACCAGTTCCGATCGGAGAGGCTACCACTCGTGGGTGAAAGGTTCCATTAACGACATTCTCGTCCCTATAGAATCGTACCACATGTACGACCCTTTCGGCAAGCGCATCAAGCACGAAACTCGGTTCAACTTTGACCGAATCCCAGCTATTGTGGAGCTTTGCATCCAAGCGGGCGTCGATATCCCCGAGTACCCCTCACGCCGGAGGACCACCCCCGTCCGTATGCTCGGGAAGAAGATAATCGACATTGGAGGGCACGTTGGCGACGAGCGTGGGCCCCACGGCACGTGCTCGGACTTCGACACCGACCGCGCCCTCGAGAGGTTTCGCCCGCCCGGCGAATCCGAGGGGCCCGCCGTCGCGCGCGGGACCCTCGACGCGTTCGAGGGGGTGAAGCGGGGAGTGAGGGAGTTGATGGGAATGTACACGGTGAAAGCGTGCGGGTATTGCTGGGAAATCCACGTGGGCCCGTGGGGCCACAACGTGAAGCTGTGCGGCGCGTTCAAGCACCAGTGGCGGGACGGGAAGCACGGGTGGCAAGACGCGACGCCGGAGGAGGTTTTCCCTTCCAACCACGTGTGGCACGTGCGGGACCCGAAGGGGCGGCCGATGAGGAACTCCTTGAAGAGGTTCTACGGGAAGGCGCCGGCCGTGGTTGAGCTCTGCGTGCAGGCCGGCGCCGAAATCCCTCAGTTGTATAAGCCGATGATGAGGCTCGATATCGTCTTGCCGGATTCCGAGGAAGCTCATCTTGTTGCCTGAAATGCTTACTTGCTAGAAGAACAGAGCAAACATCTCTTGCCCTTTTCATTTATATCCATCCTTCAAGTTTTTATTCATAGTGTAAATAAGTGATTACATTTTTCAATAAGGTGTGCCATTGATGTACTAGTGCAAAAACCCTGGTGTACAACTTGGTGTGTACCAAGCAATGTACAAGTAGTAAAATTGAAAATTTTTAAAAGAAAAAAAAGGTGATGTAGCATTGGTGTACAATGTTTGGTGTACAAAAAGTATAATCTCCAAATTCCTAAATACAAGGAATAATTTAATGAAGGAGAAAAAATAATTGAAATATCCGATAAACTGAATTTCGATCTCAACGTTTTTTTGTTCACCGTATCATAGGACTATATGGAACAACACAAAAGTTTAACCTGAGTACAAAAAAGCCCATAATGAATCAGCAACCTTCCGATCTCTATCCTATGTACAAAAAAAATATTTCCTCTCTTTACTTTCATCAAAAATTGAAGTTGAATGAACATAGAGACCCATTATGTCTACATTCATTCATTTTTTATAAAAATATCTTATGTCAATAATCCCAAGAATTTGAAACTTTACCCAAATATGTTAAGATTGTACAACTATTACAAGTACTCCAAGAAATTCAACTTTTTTTACAAGTATACTCCAAGAGAATTCCTAGAATTTTCAAGATGATCAATATGTAGTCCTAGAGTATTATTGTAAAAAAATATTAATTTTTTAAGAGAGACGATAAAAATTATATAATCTTGAAGTATTCATGTAAAATCTCAGATTTCTAAAAGTATTGACACTAATTTTTTCCTATTTTTAGATGTAATAAAAAAATCATCGAGATGGTTCCAATGACATTGTCATGGGATGACCAAGGGAGCTCCGGTACCCCGTTCGAAAAATTGATGATTCCTACCTTCCTAACCCCTGATAAATCCCCTCACCCCAGCCTGACCCGAACACACCCCGCACCCCCTTCAATTGCACCTCACAAGTTAATTTTGACTTAAGAGACAAAATTTGAAGGGGTGTGTTCGGGTCGGGCAGTTTGGAGGTTTACCGAGGGGGTTAGGGGGTAGGAATCATTAATTTTACGAACGGAACGCCGAAGCGTCCCCGGATCATCCCATAACATGGAGTTCCAATGTCATGAGAACCCCACCCAAAAAAATCATAATGATGAGTTAAAACACAAGAGATGAAGTGAGGAGATCAGCCACAAGCTCATTCACCAAAGAACTAGAGACATATCTTTCCAACTCCATAGCCAACTCCCCATTCTCCACACCCATTACCCTCTCCCACCTCCACTCCTTCTCCATCACCTCAATGTACCCTCTCCTGTTCTTCTCCACCTCCCACTCACCCCAAAACCTGCTGCTGCACTCCCCACTCACCCAACCCTCTGCTTCCCTCACCAGCTCGGAAACCGGCAGCCCCCCGTCGGCGGCGGCCGCCACCCCACAACGGAAGAAATCGAGCAGTAGCGAGGCGTCGGTGCCGCTAGTAAGTGGGGACTTCAGCTGCAGGAGTAGAGATTTTGCGCTTCGTTCCACTCGGATTTGGTCTTCGGGTCTCGGCGTGGGGGACAGGGAGGAGCGGAGAAGGGGAGGTTCGGGTTTTGGCGGCGCCTCGATTTGAGTGAGGCTTTCAAACCTCTTGATCTTCCGAAGCAGTTTCTTCATGGTTTCTGCATGGGAATGGATGTGGCATTCTATAAATAACACTTTTGATTTTGGGGGAGAAAGACCAGGATATGATCGAGTAACAAATAAAGAAAGAACTAAAATTGTTCCAAAATAAGAGTTATATATATCAATTATGACAAGATATAGTACCAAAAAAACAGTGTTACACACCAATTATACATTACCAGATTATATTGTAAAAACTTGTCATTTCTATTTTAGAAATGATAGCTAGTTATGTTTGTCTTATTTTGGATGATTTCTATACTTTTGGACCTTAATGAGAGAAGTTCTCTCAGAGAACGGTTTGAAAAGTTTAATTGAAGTTATCTATATAAGGTCTAGGTAAAATTCACATCATTACTTTTAGAATTGCGCTCCGTGTTATTATTCCCAAATTCAACATCGGTGTTATTTACTGAAATTGGGACTAATTATATAAATTCACACAATTCAAGGTCTAGTGGGGCTAGGGGCTAAGGGTGAAGGGCTCAAAGGGGTATGAACTATCAATTTTGCGAACGGGACATTGTAGGCACTCCAAAAAAATAGTGACAACGAAACCGCGTCATAAATATAATACCTCGAGTAATAGAAAAATTGAAGTTTCTCCATGATAACAACATTAGAAAACAATTATTAAAAAAGGAAGTTACCTGGTTCAATGTTGAGTTTTGTTTGCAAAGGTGAAGATGCTTCGTCATCTTCTTCCAATGGATAGTCCAGTACAGAAACTGGACTGGACTGCTCTTTCTCCACATTACAAGTTGGTATGGACCATAGTTGCTTCTGTGATCATATATACATTAACCAGCGTTAAATAAAATGTACTGCATGCATGTGTAGGTGGGAGCATCAACAAGGCAATTATCATTCATCCATCACCTCAGTGTACCACCATAGGATGGCATCTTTATGAAACTTGGCCTAACTGGGTAGAAGGTGGGGGGGGGTGGTTATTGAGTTAAGAATTCAGAAATATTCCCTCCGTTCACTAAAAGTGTATAGTTATGTGGAGCAATTGAATTTTCAATTTTTTTCCTTGTTGTGATAGATAAAACTAAGAAGTAATAGGTAGGTTATTAATGAAAAAGTATGATGTGATAGGTAAGATATGAATTAGGGGTAATTTGTCTCAATAGGACTAAAAAATACGAGTAATGACTTTCTCAATATAGGATCATATGTTTTTATTTCTCAGGACCATTCAACTAGATGTTCTTTATTACTGGACATTATTCTTTTCACTAGTCATTATTAAGTCTTATTTAAGGAATAAAAATGTTTGAGTCCTACATTAAGAAATGCTTATGTTTTTAGTCTTATTCACTGCAAATTTTACTTTGAATTAATATACTCCCTCCGTTCCTTTAAACCCTTCCACTTTTGACTTTGGGCAAAAATAAGGAAAGTGTAATTTTGGTTGACTTTCCAATTTTGCCCCTGATGTGATGAGTAAAAGTAAGATGTGATGGATTGATTATTAGAGAAAAAGTATGATGTGATAGGTAGGGTATGAAAAAGTAAGGGTAAAAGTGGTTTTTTAATAGAAAGTGGAAGTGTTTTAGGGAATTCAAAAAAAACGAAAGGGGAAGGGTTTGGTGGAACGGAGGGAGTAGGTAAATATAATTTTTTTAATAAAATGTAAAAGTGTTTTAGTGAAAGAAAACTGAAAGAGTAAAAATTTTAGTTAACGGAAGAGTAGTTTTTGGTGTTAGAAAATTAGTTGGTCAATACTCCGTAGGATATTTGAAGGAAAAAAGACCAAAATAGTACTAAAACATTGAAAATATACCAAAACATGACTTTCATGGTTTTATTTCTAAAATAGGATTTACATTACCATATATGATCATATACATTACCAAAAAAATATAGTAATTTGCACATATACAGTGCCACATTACAGGATAAAATCACATTATCATAATGTAAAGTTCTATTTCGAGAAAAAAATTTGAAAGTCCTATTTTGATATTTTTATCTATGTTTTAGTCTTATTTAGAGTAATTTCTAATATTTGAACACATATCTCGCATCACCAAACGGCCCTTAGTCTCCTCAATTTTTTTTTGAAACATAGTCTCCTAAAATTAAATTGTCTTGAAACCCCGACAGCCCTACTTCGTTAAATTTCCTCGAAGAGACGAAGACAAATGGATCAAATTGGATTTCAAATAAAAACTGTTCCCATATTTATAAAAACTGACTTTTGCTTTATGTCGGAATGTCTAATAAAAACGTTTGTAACAATAAATTCAACCAAATCTACTATTTCATCATCAAAGAAGTCATTGCATTAATAGTCTAAGGATTATAAAATATTTACACGAGGGAGTATGTTATTAACCTTAATGTCTTAGATAATTTTTTACTGTAATAATTGGGTAAAATAATTCTGAGAACATTAATATTAAAATTAAATGTAAGATAACATTTTAAAAACACTAAAAGTTTAACGCTAAAACTAACGTAGCGAATTAGCATTTTTTTAAAATGCACATAAACTTCTTTTTAGACAATGCACATAGTGAAATTTGTGGCCAAGTCAATGTGTATTTAATGTAGTAATTATAAATTCATGCCTTTTGTCAAGAAACAATATGTTTTAGGAATTGTAATAAATGGTTTGCCTATGTCAAAGTTAAGAGACCTTCTCATATTTGAATTGAGCTGTTATCACTCTCATTTGCACTAATTAACACGGAGGATATGTCGGGCATGTTTGGGAATAACGTTAGAGATTAGCGTTAGCGTTTTGAAAAAGATATCTAAGGCCAGCGTTTAGCGTTAACGTTTTCAAAATAATCTACACCGTTAAAATTTTATCCAAAACGCTAACGCTAATCTTTAACGCTATTCCCAAACAAGCCCGTCATAGACCCCGTTCTCTTACTTCTCAACATATTTGTCTTAAAAACGTGTCGAATTTAAAGAAAAAATGCTAATTTTTATTATGAGTATATCCAATTTTCTCTAATATAGATTGTCAAATATAATAGATATATTGACTTTTTAATGCAAATATATTGACTTTTGATTTAATTTAAAAAACAACTAAAATTTAAAACATACGAAGGACCTAATGTGCAAATCAATTTGATCTTTTTAATCTGCTTTTTTTTTCAAATTTTAGAACACACACCTCCTTCCATGAATATTTGTATAGTTTTGATTTTTTGCATTCAATCACATTCAATCTTTGACCTCTAATTAAATAGACAATATATGATACACTAATTAGATTAAACAATACTCAGTATTATTTTTGAAAATATTATAAAATAAATCCAATACAATTAGAGTATTTTTGTATCAATATCTAAAACCAATTTTATTTGGCTACAAAAAAATCAAAATTGAACAAATATTTAAGGACAAAAGTAACATATATAATTTTTAGGTTTCAAAATTCATATAATATACTGGCAATGTCATGGGAACCCAGTGTAAGTTTAAATGATTTTTTTATAAAGTTCTAACTTCTAAATACTCCGTACATAAAAATCATTTTCAGTGATAACTGATAATTACTCCATATGTTCCCACATTCCACCCATTTATTAGCTCAAAACAGAGTACTACGGAGTGTATTGCATCCGTCCCAAATTATTTGCCACATTTGTATTTTCGAGACAAAATATCAAGTTTTTACAATTCATTTTATTTACATATTGGTATAAAAATATAAAATAAAATTTACATATAAAAAAACGACATGAAAAAGTTCTTCGAAATAAGAGATGTCAAGAATATTTTATTTTATCAAATAACCAATGAAAACGTCGAAATAAACAAAAATTCCCGCGGGACTGCTGAAAAAAACAAATGTTGTAAATATTTAGGGACGGAGGGAGTACTTAATACCCAGAGTAATTTTTTGCTGAGTCTGACAACTATATCTAGCTATTATTGTCAAACGGCAAACAAAATAAGTTAAGGTGGCCGGGATAAGGAACATGGATAAGTAAAAATGCTTGGGTGCCCCAATTAAGAGCTATCATGGGTGCACCCAAGCTTCGCACAAATGATTATCATCTGTGTCGCACAAATGATTATCATATATGTCATCTGTGCAAAACTTAGGTGCACCCATGACAGCACTCATTTGGGGATATTTCCTCAATCTAACAGTAAACTTCCACTCATAAAAAGCATAAATTACATTGTTTAAAACTACATCAAAAATTTTACATTGTGACAATAATTTTTTATCTAATCAAGTGATTGTTGAAATTATATAAATTAACATAAGTTATCAAAAACATACAATAAGTACTGGAAAATTTATCATTGGACAAAGGGAGTATAATGTGAACTACCATTTAAGAAAAAATGTAGAATGAAAATTTGTTCTAGTTTTGGGTACTGATCGGATTATATATACAAATTGAGTTACAACTTGGTGTGGTCCATTGTTCTGAAGTTCGGAGCAATGGACAACACCAAATTGTAACTCAATTTGTATATATATATATGCACACTACCACGATACATTTCTTTTCTAAGATTTCAAACTAATTTAAATTTTGATAAAGAAATGTATAATGAATCAATGAATGAGTGGTCTATAATTTAGGTAGAACTTATTTTTTTAATAATCTTCTAATTATACATATTAACTAGTCTTTCTGTTCATAAAAAAGTTCTCGTTACGCGTTACAATATTTTATTGAAGTTATTTTCAAATTATTTTATATGAAAAATGATATCGAATTAAAAATAAAAATTACATATTTGAAAATGAAATGAAAAGATCTACGAAAATAGAGGTAACATGATTATATTATTTTATCAAATGGGATATAGAAATAAGCCGTGAATAAAGTTTGACTATGTCAATAGTGAGGGAAAACTTTATTATTAGAGGGAGGAAATATATAAATTACTAGCTACTTCTCAGAGTATTTGAAACTTTTTTGATCAATTATTTCCAAACTTTGCTTTATAATTAAATAAAATATATTTTGTATATTAATTGTTAAAATAGTATTTTAAAAATATTTGATATAATAAATATAAGAAAACTATTTTTATATCAAAATATAATATCATTATTATTTAAAGCTAGGAATATACGAGTAAAAACAACACTATCACTTCAACCGCTTTAAAAAATTACAGGGGTCTAGGAAAATTACTTACCTGTTTGTTAGCGCGATATGCGTTGGTTACGCGGACACTTGGCCGATTCCTAACGGCTTTCTCCGCCGGTGAGCTTTTCGCGGCAACGGCGTCGTTCTGCTCCACCGTAGAGTTCCCCTCAGAACTGTAGCTCGAAGATGGCTGCGAATCGCCGGAAACTGTGGAATCGCTATTGCGCCGGCTGTTGCTCAACGAGCTGTTGGAATCGGAGGGTTTCGATGTCTCCTGCGCCAATTGGTTATAAACTTTCCACCGTTCGATTTCGCTCCGATCGATTTGTTTCTTATTGACGTTTCGTTTCAGAAGCTTCCGCGAAAAATTCGCCGGCAGAATCGGCTTCTTCGCCTTGCTCTGCCTCTCGGACTTAACCGCCGCCGCGGCGGGAGCCGTGTGGAGGTTCCTAACCGCCTTAATCACCGTCTTCGAGGCTCTCTGCAAAGCCGAGACAACGCCGGACGTCGGCGCCCTATTCGCCCCCGCCGCCGCGCGTCTTGCGACTGCAGGATGCTCCGCCGCCGCCGGCCTCCGCGTCGGCACATCTCTGAGGTCCGCCTCGAGCAGAAACCGAACCGTCGTGCAGCATTCTCGGCGCGGATACGATCTGAATCCGTTGGACGAGCAGGAGCTCACGTCCTCCACTAGATGATCCTTCAACAGAAGTGTCCCCGGCGGAGGATTTGCCCGTGCCGGTTTCATCTCAATCGGAGATCGGACAGAACTTTAACTCGGAGAGATTTACTGTGAGAGTGAATGTTCAGTTTAGAAAGGCAAGTGGAGAAGATGAAAAGGAATTCAGAGAATAAACGAACAGAAGCATAATTACGGAGTACTGAAGAAGAAGGGGGAGGAGATGGGAAGGACAAAAGTCTGACAAAAGATGTTTCTCGCCTACCATTTCTCCCATTTACTCAACACATATACGCAAACCAAAGAGTTAATTTCACAGTGTTTTTTAAATCTAGTGGTGGACACAGTTCGTAATGCTTTGATATTTTTGAAGAACACATACCATATACTCCCTCCGTCCCACTATATTTGTCCACTTTCATTTTTATACACCATCCAATACACTTCTTTAATCTATTTTATCTTATAATTTATATATTAAAAAATTATAGAAATTATACATTAATAATCTATATGTTAAGACAAATCAAATAAGATCACACATGATTATATTTAAGCTTACACATTGAGAAAATTTGATAAGTCAAAGTGCTTAAATGAACAGTTCCAAAAGTCAAAAGTCGACAAATATAGCGGGACGGAGGGAGTAGTTAGTAATTAATCTGTTCAATACGCTTTTGGTTTTACGCTTAAACTTACTACAAACTAGCATATGAAAATACATAACTAATTTATCAGTTTAACATTTTAGTAATAACGGTTCGGTTCGATATTTTTGATCATTTCTTCGAAACCTGTCACATACCTTTTTTAAGACAAAAGAAAACTTACTTTTTGGTTGGGTACAATATCGGTTAGGTTCAAAATAATGCCGAGTTGATATTGTTGCCTAGTGGTAGTTAAATGTAGATATTATTGTCATTGTAATTACTATTTTAAAAATAAATATATGCAGCTCTTATTTAGGCACTTTCTTTATACTCCGTATTTTACTTTTTTTTAGTCTTTTTTTCATAATTTAATAGAAGGTCAAATTGTATTGCTCAAACACATAATACTCCATAATATCTAATCATTATAATAATAATTTTAATAAGAATGATAATCATAATAATATTAATAACAATAATATTAACAACAACAACAACAATAATAATAAGATAAAGACCTTGTGGTCTACCGACCTCACACTAAATAGTTGCTTTAGTATACCGACAATGGATAAATAGTTGATTATAATCACGTTTTTAGTTTTTAAATGATGATTATTATTAGTGGCAGAGCCATATTAGTGCAAGTGAATGGGATTGCAGTCACTCTACTTTGTGTATTAGTGTAAATTAAATATACATACATATACAGCATGACAAGTGTTCAATCGGTGAAGATGTATGTATTTTGACTTTAAAGTTGCTTAGAATTCTGGAATTTCTATTCATGCTTAAACCCTAAAAGGAAGTTGTTTTGCACTTCTAAAAAATAATGGTGTGAATCATCTTACAGAGCAAGGTTCCCATGACATTACCCGATAATATTATGGGGTGACCCGCGGTTAATATGGTATACCAGAAGGATTAGGGGTATTTACCGTCGATTTTGAGCGCCTCCGAATCATCCCACGACATTGCTGGCCAATGTCATGGCCGGGAACCTTTGATGCATCTTCAATATTTGTCAATCTTTCTGCAGGCTATGTGTTTGACAAAAAAACTTGTGAGACCAATTTATATTTTTATGTCTCCGATAACTACTAGAGGGATGATAGTGTCTTGCACGTACTGCATTGAGTCCTAGCTTCGCCACTAATTATTATCATGATGATTATTATTATTATTTGATAGAAAACATATTGTTTTTCAAAAAAAAGAGGACGGATTTTGAAATGTCTTGCAACATAAAATACCATTTTTCAAGAAAACAATATAGACAAATTATACAAAACATAAATTATATATTGATATAAAAATCATTTACTTTTTTTGTAAATATTTTTAACAAATTATTTTATTTTAATATACTCCGTATTTATTATAACTCCTTCCACCATTCGAATCTTCTTTTTTGATTTTTCATGGTCTTCACAGTAACACTTTGTCTACTCCATCCGTCCGGAAATTTTCTTCCCGAGTTGACTTGGCACGCTTATTAAGGAATAATAAAAAATACAAAATTTTCAAAAATGCACTTACCATAAACTTTTAAATATCCTTTTATTATTAAAAAAGTATTAAACAAGTAGATTTGTGATAAAATAGAAGGGGTATAATTGATATTTAGCCTTAAAAAGCATACTAAAAAAGGAAATGGGAAGAATATTTTCGGACGGACTAAAAAGGAAAATGGGAAGAATATTTCCGGACGGGGGGAGTATATCTTTATCTATAGATAGATATATATCATAAAAATGTAATATTTCAAAACTACGTTTCAAAATTAACTTATTGATGATATAAAATTTACGTAGTATATCATAATGAAATGAATTTTTCTATAATTTGTAATCAAATTTTATGAAAAGTTGATCTTGAAATTCAAACTGGGAAAGCTCAAAAGAGATGGAAGAAGTAAAATACAATAGATTGCCGGGCAATGTCAAGGGATGACCCGGGGACGCTCCGGTGCCCCGTTCATAAAATTGACGGTTCCTACCCCCCCGGTAAACCCCCCACCCGGCCCCGACCCAAACACACCCCCCCACCCCCTTCAATTGCACCACACACGTTGATTTTGACTTTGGAGTCAAATTTTGACTCCAAAGTCAAAATCAACTTGTGGGGTGCAATTGAAGGGGGTGGGGGGTGTGTTCGGGTCGGGGCCAGGTGGGGGGTTTACCGGGGGGTTTAGGGGGTGTAGGAACCATCAATTTTACGAACGGGGTACCGAAGTGCTCCCGAGTCATCCTATGACATTGCCGGACAATGTCACTTGAACCGTGGGGTATAATCTATGAGTGTTGTTGGCATGGCCCATAAAAGGCGATGACAACAGAGTAACATTAATACCTTCTGGGCTGGGCCGAGCAATTTACAGTGGTTCAGATTGTAATGCTTTATTGAACAGTACATACTTGGTGGGCCAAACATTGATTGCTCCAAGGCCCTTGACCCTTTTTGTTTTTTCTCTTCGCCCCACATTAGCTGTGTAGCTGGGATGTCAAGCCAAACGTTTCCTCTTCAAGGGGGGCTTATTTGGTGGACACAAAAAGGAGGAGGTGCTATTAAATTACTCCATCCGTCTGGAAATGTTCTTCCCGTGTTGATTTGGCACGCTTATTAAGAAATAGTAAAAAAATGTAAAATTTTCAAAAATCCACATACTATAAACTTTTAAATCTCCTTTTATTATTAAAAAAGTATTAAAAAAGTAGATTTGTGATAAAATAGAAGGGTATTATTGATATTTAGCCTTAAAAATGATACTAAAAAAGGAAATGGGAAGATTATTTCCGGGCGTACCAAAAAGGAAAATGAGAAGAATATTTCTGGACGGAGGGAGTAATAAATACTGTATATAAATTTAGATATATACTTTTTTGGAAAGAAAACTTAGATGCTATTTAAATGTAAACATAAGAATTTAAATTAATAATATATATTTTTTGGAAAGAAAATTTAGATATATATGATATTAAATACAAATAGTATCAAATAACAAATTAAAAAATTTACCCCTAAATAAAACTAAAACATAAGTCATTTCTTAATGTATGATTTAAACATTTTTTTTCTAAATAGTACTTAATATGGAGTAATATCTAATGTGAGGAATAATGTCCAGTGACGATAGATATTTACTTGAATAACAATTAATAGATAATGACCAATAATCTCACACTGGAAAATAAAAACATATGATCTTATATTGAGAAACTTATCATGTTTCGTTCCTATTTAAGTAAATTCCGCTAAAAAAATACCACGATAAAATTTGATATACAATTACCAAGGATGCAACATTCAAATAGTAAATGAGTAGACATAGAAATTCACCATTTACAAACGGGCAATGCTAGGGGTACACCAACATGGGATATCCCAAGTGTACACCAAGCCAACACAGACACACACAAACACAAAATGTCTGTGCAACACAGACACTTTATGTCTGTGTGTATCTGTGTTGGTTTGGTGTACATTTGGGATACCCCATGTTGGTGTACCCTTGCTTAATTCTTTACAAACACCATAATGAGCCATGCTGAATTGCTGATCGCCAACAATGATTGAGTATGCCCCTTTGCTGTTTTGATGCTCTTTTATACGGAGTAGATCATTGAGTATTTGAGCATTGAGCCTATCTTTTATAAACCAACTAGTAATCTGACCTATGCCACCCCGCACGTGATTGAACAAAATTTTTTACGATTCTGAAAATCTACTTTGAAAGTATGGTAAATTTAGTATTTTAAATTTTTTTTGACTATTTCACAATGATTATAAATCTTTTGTCATAGCCAATGAGAAAAGATCATTGTTGATGCATCATTGACTACAATCAGAATCTACCGAAGTTGTCACTGATTAGAATTCTAGTCTTCAACCACAGTTATTATTTTTGTGTTATCCCTAAAACTGATATTAGAATAAGTCACTGGATCTACGATAAATGTGAAATTACATTTTTATACCTCAATTTAACACCAACACTACAAAAGGTTAAGAAAAAGGCTATCCATGGACAATTATCCATTAAAAAGAACTGTAAATATTATACTTGATAATTGAAAATTAAATATAAAAAACTCTAATTATACAGAACCAATTATAAAATGTACTTTGTAACGATTTTTTTGAATTAAGTATTTGATCATTTTTGAAAAAAAGTTCTATCATCTCTTCTTCTATACTCCATTCGTCCCAATTTAAATCGTCTGTTTTGATTTTTGTGCATAAGGAAAATAAAAAATAAAATTAATTTTCTGAAATTATCATTACTTTTATAAGAGTAATGATGAATGAGAATATAAGGTGAAAAAGAGTGACTTATTTTAGGGCTAGTTTAGGTATTTTATTTTTAAAAGTTTACAAAAACAACTAATAGGCAACTTATTTTGGGACGGAGAAAAAAGACAAACAAGCAATTTAAAATGGGACGGAGGGAGTATATTTTTGATGTAGAATTTTTTTAAAAAAATATTTAAATAAATAGAATAAAAACTAACTTCAAGTAAGCATGTTAAAACAAATATAGTGCTCGTATTATTTAGAAGTGAGGTGAATATTTTATTTAGTCATTCAAAGTATTATTGTAAATGAAGTGAAAAAATATAGTGGAAAGAATATCCTTCTTCGTAAAAAATCTCTATTTATAATTAAAATACTTCATGATGGTGAAGAGGCTTAAGGACCCATTAAGGAAGCTGCATAAACAAAAATACACCAAGATTCACTTGCAAATGGAGGAGGCTAGAGAACAGCTCCTGAAATTCCAAGAAAAGATCAAATAGAGTCAATTAAATGTGGGAATGGTGGAAAAAGAAAAGAAATTGAGGGACACACTTGGGCAAACTATTAGAGCATCAAATAGTTTAAAATGTCAGTAAAGCAAATATGATTGGTTAACTGAGGGGGATAAAGGATCCAGGCTATTCTATGCTTGGATTAAGAAGAGAATCACACAGAACCATATACTGGCTATACAGAATGAGAAGGGAGATAGGATGGAAGGCACTGCTGAAATAGCTAGAATATTTGTTCAATACTACACCAAACTTCTGGGTACTAAGTCATCAGTAAAAGGTATAGATGAGAAGATAATTAAAAGTGGGAGAGTGTTGAACTTAGAGCAACCAGTGGACCTGATTAAACCATTCAACAGGCAGCAGGTCAAAGAAGCTGTCTTCTCTATCTCAAAAAATAAAAGTCCAGGTCCTGATGGTTATGGGAGTGGGTTCTATCAAGGAAGATGGAAAGAGGTGAGGGAATTGACCATTGCTGGAGTTATGGATTTCTTCAGAGAGGGTAAAACTTTGATGCAAGTGAATGCCACATCTTTAACAGTGCTCCCTAAAATTCCTGACCCTCTTACTCCTAAGGATTTCAGGCCTATAGCTTGCTGTAACACAATATATAAAGTCATATCCAAGATGATTTGCATGAGGTTGAAAGAAGTACTACCACATATCATTGATAACAATCAAGGTGCTTTTGTCCAAGGAAGGGAGCTAATACACAATGTGTTGATGTGTCAAGAAATTGCCAAAGGATACAATAGGAAGAATATGTTAGAGTATATAACAATCATTCCTGGGCCACAACCACAAGCTTGAGCTTTTGGTTGAGTTGGTTCCTTGACATGGTATCGGAGCCTTGATGACCAATAGGTCACGAGTTCGAAACTCACCGCAACCCAGTTTAAAAAAAAATTAAGGTTTCACGTGCAAGGCTCAAAGAGGTCACGCCTGCACGTGAGGGGGCGTGTTAGAGTATATAACAATCATTCCTGGGCCACAACCACAAGCTTGAGCTTTTGGTTGAGTTGGTTCCTTGACAGAATACCTCACCAAGGTGCATGATGAAACTTGATATTCAGAAGACCTATGACACAGTTAGTTGGGTTGCAATAAAAGGCATTCTGAAAAGTTTCCTATTTCCTGAACTGTTTATCAAATGGGTGATGTACTGTGTCACCACTCCAACTTATTCTGTGAACATCAATGGTGGTGAGTATGGGTTTATAAAAGGGGCAAAAGGGTTGAGGCAAGGAGACCATGTGTCTCCACTTACACTACAAAAAAAGAGGGCATTACCGAAAGATCCTTAGTGACAGAAATCTTATTTATCGCTAAAAAGAGAATATTACCGACAGATAAAATTATTTGACGGGAAAAACTATTTGATCCACAGAAAGGGTAATATCTGTCGCTATAGGTTATCGTTTTAGCAACAAAATTATATCTGTCAGTATTGCTTATAGTTTTAGCGACAAAACTTTATCTGTCAGTATTGTTAATACTATTAGCAACAAAAAAACACATCTGTCGATAATGTTTATAGTATTAGAAACAAATATTTTTCTGTCGATATTGTTTATAATTTTAGCAACAAAATTTTATCTGTCGATATTGATTTTATTAATATTAAAATTTAATTTAAATATCTTAATATAGAGTAAAAAACTATAAATAAGTAGGAAAATCCCAAAAAGACAAAAGTGCAAAATAAACGATCTAAAAAGCAAGATGTTGGATCGAAGATGGATCCCAATGGGTCTTTGATCGATTAGCCCCCTGTGTGTCTCGTCGAGACTTTTCCGTAAAGGTGTACACGAAAATAATAAAAATAAAAATAAAAATAAAAATCATTATAATAATGATAATAATAATAATAATACTCTATCTGTTCTCAAAAAGAGTTTCTAATTTGACTAAGTGTAAAAATAAGGAAGTGTACTGTTAAATTGTAGTTGAATTCAAATTTTATCCTTGATGTGATGAGTAAAAGTAGAATGTGATGAATAGATTATTCATGAAAAAATATAATGTTATAGGTAGGGTATAAAAAAGTAAGAGTAAAAGTGGTGTTTTAATAGAAAGTAAAATTATTTTGTTGGAAGTAGAAGAAATGAAAGAAAAAGTATTTTTAGAATAGAGGGATTAATAATAATAATAATAATAATAATAATAATAATAATAATAATAAACAAAAACTTGTAAAAACATAATTCAATATACTCCCTAGTCGCCACCACTCCCACCAGTAAATTGCTAATCTCCTAAAACCGCCGGCCACAGACTCTTCGATCGAGAACATGACATCCTCCGCTGGCCACAGAGAGTCATCGATCTAGAACAGGAGGACATCTTCCGCCGGCCACAGAGACTCATTGATCTGGAACAGGACATCGTCATCGCGGAAGCTCGGAAGTTCGGCAATCCTCTGCGACGCGGCCGGAAGTTCGGAACTCCTCTTCGTCTCCTTCATCTGAGCGTGTTCTTCAATCGTCACACCCTAATCAGGTATGTCGGCTACACTTCCTCACCTTCTTCGCAACAGTGTTTCTAAAGAACCTGTAAAATCTATTCCATAGGACAAATTTTGTCCAAACCACCTCATTGGACTTTGATAGTGTCTCACTTCTGTCACAATTGGGTAAATTTTATTATTCTTACATGTTTACGTTCTTGTTTATAAATTATTGAGATTTTTCAGGGCTATTTTGTTTAAAAAAAAGTCTATTTTCATTCTATAGAAAGCATGTTTTCTTGTTTATTTGAGTATCTAATTGGTGGTATAAATTTCCAAAAAGTTGATTTGTTCATATTTTTATGAGTACAACATCTATGGATTTCTTATGTGTGAATTGTGTGCTGATTTTGAAGCATTTAAAACCTAAATATTCTTAAAAAAACTGATTTGTACTTGCTGATTTTTCTGAAACTTGCACTACTCATGCTGATTTTTTTGTCCTTTAGAGTGCTTCGTTGCTTGAAGTATGAAATATTATTGATATATCTTTCTTAAAGACAACATTTATAAACATATCATGATGTTTATATGATGTTTTTGATGCTTAAAGTACTGATTTTGAATCATTTAAAACCTAAATATGCAAAAAAAACTGATTTCTACTTGCTGATTTTTCAAAAATCTGCACTAATGCTGATTTTTGGTCCTTTAGAGTGCTTCGTTGCTTGAAGTATGGAATATTATTGATATATCTTTCTTAGGGTCAACATTTATAAGCATATCATGATGTTTATATGATGTTCTCGATGCTTAAAGTGCTGATTTTAAGAAAAATCTGATCTTAATTAGTGTCATTTTAAAAAACCTGTGCAATTTTTCCTTGATATTCAAACTGATTTTTGTGTTTCCTAGATGCTTATGTTTGTTCATTTCATGTCTCTATTAAAAAATAATGTTTATAATTGTAGTAGACTATGAAAGGTACAGGAAAAACTGTCATGAAGAACCAAAATAAGGAAGTGATTTCAAGCAGTCAGCTACTTGTAAGATATAATTGTACATTTTGATTAATTTATGACATACATTGGATTATTGGAAGAGGCAAAGAAGGAGCTAATATGGATAGAATTAAAGGTATGTTTAATTTTTATAAATGTGTATTTCCAATACCTTAAAAATTAAAGTGAGTCTAAAATTATTTTGACAACTTACCTCTTCATGAAACATAAACTATCTCAGAGGTCTTACAACTTTCCCGAAGGAAAGGAGCCGCGTGAATGGGTGATAATGAAAGCACATGCTTCTTGGAAAGATTACAAATTCGAGCTAAAAGAAAAATATTTTAATGGAAAAACTCTTGCAACAGCATTACAGAACAGGCCCAGCATATCCCTTCGAATATGTGGACGAACTTGGTGGAGTTTTGGAGCTCAGATTTAGGCAAGGTATTATTTTAAAACCCTTTTTCATTTATATGTTAATTTATTTGATGTGTATAACTCTAAGAATATCAAGTATTTTTTCTTATAAAAAAGAAGCAAAATAGGGACTCAGAATCGTGTTAAGAATCAAATTCCACATTATTCTGGGACAAGAAGTCATGCCCGTGTTCGAGCTAATGAAGAGGTACTTGATACATTATTCGACATCATTCATATTCATTTAGGATGGGTGGAACAAATAAATAAGTACATGAAATTACAATTTTGTGCTTTGCGAACTATGAATCTACTTTGTTAATATGATCTTCTCGTTTATCATGTGATAAAATCCTTATGTGCTTATGTAAAAAATAACTTATGTATCCAACATGATTTTTAGGCAAAAGGAAAGAAGATAGACAAGCTTGGAACATGGCTATTGACACATGAGCCGAAGAAAGGTTCAAAACTGGATGATATTTCAGCTATGAAAAAGGTAAATAAAAGTAGGAAAAACCTTTTTTCATTGTTATTTAGACAAGTATTCCCTTATTCATTGGTAATTTATTCATAATTTTACAGGAGTTAATTCTTAAGGAGTTAGATACTTTGAAAGATGTGGAAGTTGGTGCACCTGCTCGTGATGAAGTTTTTGAAAAGGTAGTGGGAGAAGACAAAAATGGATATGCAAAGACCTTTGGTATGAGAGTGAGAGTGCCTCGATCTTGTACTAAACGGTGCGCCTTGAAGGAGGAGAAAACAAAAAGATTGAAAATTGAACAAGAGCATGAAGAAACAAAAAGAGACTCCAGAATTTAGAAGATGTAGTGTCATTGCTTTTAAATAGCCTGGTTAGTCTCTATTTATTACTGTTAACTACCCATATATTTCATTTGATTTTTGTTTAGTTCATTATATAGTTTAAAGTTATGCCACCTAGTATGAGTATAAGGTAAATATGGTGCAAAATATCTAACTATGTTATCATGTGCTTATATCTTTTTTGCATAGGGTTCAAAAGCTAATGAATCTGAAATCAATGACCTTACAACTGGTGGTAATACAACCATTGAGAAAAGTCATGATGAGGATCGATGGAACAAAGATGATGAACCTGAGAGCGATGAACTTGAAGATTTATACAGTGACAAGCATTAAAGCTTTGGACTATATATTTCATATCGATGTGTATTTTATTTTTAGTTCACTTTGACTGTTTATACTTTAGCTTAAATGATGCACTACTTTTGAGATGTTGGTTTAAATTATAGTAAATGGGTTAGTTGTAACCCTTTGAAATGTTATCGTATTATGTATTTTTGTTAATACAAGTATGAATATTATTTTTTATTTGTCAATGAAATTATTTAATATCACCCAAATAGTTGGTATTAGTAATAGTTATAATAAATGTAAATGTTGGTCAAAATAAGCTATTACTGACAGAAAAAAATGTTTGGCTCACAAAGTTTTGTGTCAGTAATATAACTTTTAGCGACAGTTATAATAAATTTTAATGTTGGTAAAACAAGGTGTTACCGACAGAAAAGAAGGATTTACCCACACTTTGTTTTGTCGGTAATTCTTTTTTAGCGACATATATGTTTTGTCGGTATGTTTTGTCGGTAATTCTCTTTGTTTTAGCGACATCTTTGGTCTGTCGCTATTATACCGTTTTAGCGACAGTATATTTTATCTGTCGGTAATACTTTTACTGACGGAGTTTTTAGCGACAGCTTAGCGACAGGCAATTATCTTTGTAATGGTCATGGAGTATTTGACAAGGAGCTTCAAAGTTGCTGTTCAGCAAGATAGATTTAATTTCCATCCTAAGTGTGGTGGATTAAAGATAGTAAATATCTGTTTTGCTGATGACCTAATTAATAGTAGTCAGCAAGGCAGATAAAAATTCTGTTGCTTGCATTATGAAAGTACTGGATAACTTTCATTCAGAGACTGGTTTAAGCATAAACAAATCCAAATCTCAAATTGTGTTTGGGGGAGTGAACCAGCAACTAAGGGAAGTCTTGCTGAATCAAACAAGGATGAAGCTAGGGATTCTGCCATTTTCCTATCTTGGGAGCCCAATTACAACAGGTAAACTGAAGAAAAATTAATAAGCTGGCTTCCAAAATTACTGCTTGGGGGATTAAATCTCTCTTATATGGCTAGGGTGAGGCTTATTAATTCAGTTCTGATGGGGATAATATCCTTTTGGTCTAGGTTTTTTATAATACCCAAACAGGTCATGAAGGAGGTAATGTCTATATGTAGGAACTTCTTATTGGGGGGNCTTTGGTAAACTGGAGTGATGTCTGTTTAATGAAAAAATTTGGAGGATTGGGCATTAAAAATGCAACGAATTGGAATAAGGCTGCTATTATGAAGCTAAATTGGGACGTGGCCGGGAAGAAAGACATACTATGGGTAAGATGGATTCACAGTAAATATCTCAAAGGGGTATATATTTGGGACTACACCCCGAAAGGAAACAATTCTACATGAAGATTCACATAACGAACCTGTTTTGGTGTTGGACTTACAGCTGAGTTGGCCTTAGTTGATGTTGTTTGATATGCACTGGTTAAGCTCTAGGTGGCTATCGGTGACTGTTGCACTGTCGCTGCACACCACCACATTATATGAAGTTATTATTATTATAATACAAATTGAAAAAATTACTTTTTTTAAGTAAAAATTACTTGAGTTTAATGTAAAAGTAATGTAAAATCCAAAAAGTACTTGGTTGTGTTTATCTCAAAAGGCAAAAGAATGGTGAACTGAAATATGATACGAACATGAAAATCCACAGCTACTTGAACCTAGTGATATACGGAGTACTTTTTGTTAATATACAATTGTACACAGTGTCAAACCCCCACCCATTAGATAAAAGAGTGAGTTTGGTATTTAGGGAACTTATTCTCACTACGACGGTAAAGAAGAGGATTCATTTCCTTCTGTTGTTTCAATTGCTTCTTTCTTCAGGATCAGGTGTCATATGATGAATTTCGTAAAAAAAATTTCAACTAATGGCACAGAAAAACTGAATTTGTGAGCTAAATAATTTGCATTTGAGGGCTAATTTTTAGTTCTCCATATTGCACGCAGAACACATTATAATGAACTAAACTTTTAAAAAAATCTTAAAAGTATAAATTCCAACTTAGTTTCGTACCTTGTCTCTCGATTCCAAGTGGAGCTTAATTTGTTCTATATTCTTGGTTCTAGCCTGAAGCAAGAAGACATGAACAAACTTGTTCATGTCAACAAATAGTTAGATGCATCAAGGATGAACTTGAACATGGAAGTGAAAAGATAATCAATAACCTTTCATTGGCTTCTTAATGGGGGTATTTGTCTCAGCGTATATAAAAGTCATTGAAACAATTTGCACGGACCTTGCCACCTAGATAATGAATGCTGCTGCATCGCTGGATTTGTAATGATGTCTTTGGAATGTGGGTTTTGATGTCGATTAGTGCCGGAGAAAGTTGGCCCGACCTCACCTTCTTCCGCTGCTGCACCCGTCTGCTTTGCTTTGAACATTGAGATGATCATCCCATTGTAAGTGAGGCTAGAGTTAGATGAGGAGCGGAAAGAAACTGAACCAAAAGAGGCGAAGATGTGGTCAGAAAAAAGAATTGAGCGGATGGGAAAGGAGAACCGCTTATTTGAATAGCCTATTAAGTGTGATTAACCTTCAAGGCAAACACCTACTTATTTGAATAGCCTATTAAGTGTGATTAACCTTCAAGGCGGATATGATTGACAAGTAGCATATCACAAACCACTTGGTCAAGATTAGAAGACCTGCCTTATATCAAAATATTCTCATCAATACAAAGATTCTAGGACAAATACTCCAAAGCACCATTCACCACTCTCCACCACACAATTAAATGACATATTCTTAACAAAGTTTAAAAATAAAAGATCTAAGAGACAAACCTAAGATACTTTTAAGTTTTGAAATGGTGAACAGAAGTACCATAAAACTGATGGACACTGGATCAAGATGCATTATCATTACCATATACGACATCCTTTCCAAAAAAAGAGTCCAATTTACTATTTGAGAGTCAATCGATTTATTTTCGTTTATGTACTAAAAACACTACTTAGTATATACTTTTTGAACATTGTAAATTATGGAAGAAAGAAAGTTTTGACTTTTTGAACGTGGTGTGATATATTAATGGTTTGCTTGTTGGGAGCAACACAATTCAAAGTGTTGATTAAACTAAAGTTAACAGTTTCAAAATCAAAGATGTATTTCATTTTAATATTGACTATGGATTGTTTTGTTAGCTAATATACACAAAATTACATCAATGTTAAGGTTAAGATAATAAAAAAATATCCAAGTGGATGAGAACTTCTCTTTGAATCGATTGGGCAGGAATAATATGCATAATACTCTTTCCTTAAAGATGTCTCTTTTTTCCTCACTTGATTGGTTGCCACAACTGAGATTACCTCCTTCCAATGCCCCATTCAGCAAATAAAAATCAAAACAAAATAAATCAAACTGTAGTACCTTGGTTAATCATTAATCCTCTTAGAATGCCAATCTTGGTCAGTGTCATTGTATTTCAGCAAACATATGCACACCTCTTACAATGATAAGCACCAATGTAAATATTTCGAAGGGATCTGATGAAAGAACATACATGGCAAATAGGAAACTCAATGGATTGAATTGGAAACTAATCAATAGCAGCAAGAAAAGAAACTCCCCCTTCTCTTACCTTGTTATGTTCGAATACCAACTGTCCATGGTTGTCAATATCCATCTAGCCCAGGTCAAAATTCTACATGCTTTGATGTTTTTGGATGGAAAATCAAAATAAAATTGTGATTGAAGTTGTAAACATACCTGACTTGCCAAAATTTTCATCCTTTCCAATCATTTCGAAACCCTAACCCATGGCATGGTTTCCGGCGTGCAGTGGGTAGAGAGATCGAGCACTGTTCCTTCTCTACGGAGGATCTGGTGGCGGAGAAATGGCGAAAACAAATACAATTATGCATAATATGATTCTAAATTAGGTATGTAATATATCAGAATTAAAAATTGGGAGTCTGATTCGAAATAAAGAATTGGTATTACGGCCGAAATTAAACAACTGGAATACAATCGAATAACATGTATAAACAAATTTTGTAATCGAATAATATTGGCATATGAATTTTGGAAACTTACCTTGTTTGAAATCAAGCAAATTTGGAGAACGTCGAGTCCATGATGAATTCCTTTCCTTCGGTGATGAAATCAGACGAAAAATCTGTGTATTTTGGAGAAGAATCAGGGATGAAGGATGCGATGGAGATTTACAAATAGATATGCGATGAAGAAGGAATTGGGGAAAAGTCTCTACGGTAGAAAGCATAAGAGTGAGACGCGTGTAAACTGACGTGTCATTAAAATAAGACCAAGTGCCACGTGTCAAAATTCTAAGCTATCAACTCTCAAATATTATATTAAAGGATTTAGTTACAATATTAGATGTACTATAAAAGGGGGAAAAACCCGCCATTGTAAAGCATGAAAAAATTCAAGACTCAATCAAAGAATATTGTTGAGAGATTATACTTTTGATCCATATTACGTTCTTGGTCCGCCATCTTATTGGGTTAATCCCATCATTGGTGCTTTCATTGAGATTTATCTGTGAGATAAGGCTGTGAGATTATGGCCGGACGAAGGACGAGACGTAACACTGCTGCTTCCGCCCAGTCAACGGTGAGGAGTGACAACCCTGAACAGGGTATGATCGTTCCTGTTAATGGGTTGGAAACGGCACTGAATAATGTGGCTAACATGATGGCCAACATTATGGAGATAAGGCTCTTCTAGGTCCATCCGGTACCCGGGACATCCCTGCTGGCAACCCTGCCAGGTCCTGCGTACTGCGAGTTCTCCTATCCTCAAGGAGCTCCCTGATCCGGATGAGGTTGAAAGGGAGAGGCAAGCCATTGCAAGATGCCGGGCGGAGGAATTGGCCCGGAATAACAGGGTGAATGAAGGCCGGGCTAAGGATGCAAGCCAGATCGTCGGCGATGGAAACGAGAACCCGCGGGGATCTGTCTTTGAAAGGATATCTCGCCAGAAAGCTCACGTTAGTGAGAGGCTGGGGAAGAATCCGGATAAGGCACCCTAGGGTTGGATACGACCCCAGGCCAGCCAGGTGGCATCTTCTAACCGTGAACCCCGGTAGCGAAATAGCCGTGGTGGGAGCCAAGTGCTAGTCTGGTCATTCGTGAATCTGAAGGAGGGCCTATTGCTTCCATGCAGTCAGCAAGAAGGAGGTGGGGGACCCTTCCATGGGCTCCTTCTCTTTGACGAGGGACACGCTGCGGAATCATCAGCGGTTTCCCATATGTCATAGTCTTCCCACGTCCCAAGACGGGGAGCTGCGGCCCTCAAGGGAGAACTATCGTTGGGAGACTTCAGCGAGTTTGGAGAAGCAATCCAGCTTTTACATGAAGGTTATGCCTCGACAATTGGCAAAGAGCACCCAAGTTTAGCCCTGCACATCCTTTGGTACAAGGCGAAGTCTTGGAGGGTCATAGAATCCCATTCTATCCTCCCGGATGGAAGCCTGGGTGGGCTAGGAGGAGATGGTGCAGGGAGGCGAGGTGCTGGATAGACTCTTGAGAACTCGCCTGGACTCAACCCAGCCATGTCGTTGGATTGAGACGGAGAGACGGAGAAATCATTATCCGAAGAAGAAGACGTCCCGGAAAGGGTTAAGTTGATGACGATTTTACTCTCAGATTTACTTGCCATGGCGAAGAAGTCAGAAAGGGATGGACTAGCAGCTAACTATCCTTTCCCATTTATAGTGCAAGGGGAAGGGATAGTTGGGAAGTGATGGATGCGGTTGGAAGACGTGAAAGACTAAACGATTGGCTAAAGAAGCGGTCGAAGATTTCCAATGTTTTACTAGGGGTTTCTCGCCACTTAAGTGCATGGGCCAGTTATTTGGGCCCTTCTGCGCTTTGGGAAAGACGTCATCCTTGGAAGGTAAGGAGTTAAATAAGCTTAGACTTCTACTCCATGCAGATGACGACACGTGCAACAAAATTATACTAAATGACAAGAGATAAAGGTTTTTCCATTAAATAGCTCAAACAGAAGATTACATTCTTTTGGGTTACAGTAATGGGCCTTATCCCTGATCTAACAACAGAATAAAAAGGAGATGGGAGATAAAGACTTTCATTAAATAACTCAAACAGAAGATTACATTCTTTTGGGTTACAGTAATGAACTTTGTCCCTGATCTACTTCTACCCTACTACTGGAAAAATCTGAAGGCAAGGTGAAGTGAAGCCTCAAGAATCTGAGGAGAGGACATTCCTTGACCCTTGCTGTCGTGCGTGAACCAGAAAAGAACCCCGGAACGTGGAGGCTTGGAGGATGCCCACCGAAAACACTTCATGACATTCACAAGAAGCGGAATGGTACCAACGGATTGGGATTGAAAGCAATCCCCGTGGATACCATCCACTCACTCCCATTAAGGCGGACAAAAGAGGACGGTAGGGCATGAGGGAAGCACTCAAGGCTTATCTCCGCTTATACGGGAGGAGGAGGCGTTCCGAAATGTTCCATCCTTCTCCCTGCGTATAAATGGGAGCCTGATTCCCCCTGTAACGCCCCAAAATATACCCTAAAATTTATTGAATTAAATATTCAATTAAACAAAATTTGTTTTGATTAAAATAAATTATTGTTGGGCTTTGGACCGAAATAAAATATACATTGATGTCCAATAAACATAATTGGGTTAAATCTCATAGAGATAAATCCAACCTGTTGACTTATTGTGTGATCTTGATTGGGAACCTGAGTACAGACCCAAATTAAGAATAAATGAAGAAATTGTTTGTAATGTGAACTTTGAAATGATTTATTGAAATAAATCATGGAAATAAATAATAGGAATTAAATGTGAGAACCTTTTTGAATAAAGGTCAATTAGACCAATTTTTGACTCTATCAAAGTCAAACACCCAAAAAAATATGATGTCAGAAAAAGTAAAACGAATAAATATAAAAATTACATCGTTGAATAGAGCTCGACTATCTGATCACAACGGTGTAAACGGATTTCAATTTGGAGAACGTTGGACCAAAAAGTGTACCCCAACTGGAACCAAAATTGGTCCCAATCAGGGACACTGTTGAGACGGCGCCTCCCAGCGCACTAGAAACTTTCCTACGCAGCACCACTTCACCATTGTCTCCTTCTTCTTCATTCTTCCTATTTAAGGAAGGAGAACCAATTTCCATTTTTGCACCAAAACATAATAAGTTTAGTATCATTGTGTTCCTTGTTGAGTGGAGAGTTCATTGGTGCTGTCAATTTGGTGTGGAGTCGCCGGAGCTAGCCGCAATCCTCGCCGGAAGTTTCGCCGGAATATCGTCAAAACCTCCATTACACTTCGAGGTAAGCCCGTTGATATATCTAGTGACTAGAATGTTCGTATAGATCGTTTCTACGTTCATAAACGGTCGTTTGGTTGAGTTTTGTGCTTGACATGCTTGAAGAACCATGAATCATAAACCATTAAATTGATGTTAAAACTATGAATTAATGATGCCAAAATGATCTATGAACCTTGGAGAACATCCCTACATAGTTTCGTTGAAGTTCGGTAACTAAAAACGGTATTTTCGAAATTGGTGTCGCAAGGTAGAAGACGATGAATAGTACCTGAAACAGACTGTCTGGATCGATCCTAAGGCTTAGACCGATCCTCTGGGAGTTAATTTTCACATCATGGATCGATCCAGAGGGCTGGATCGATCCCCCGAAGTTCTGATCCGAAAATTTGTTTGAAAATGCTATTTTTGAGCTCTAAAATCCTATTTTTGATACCAATTGATTATGATCATTATAAAAATGATTTACCACAAGAGAAATGATGTTTTTAACAACTAAAAATGCTATGTGTTGCATGACGCGGTAAGTTCGGGTGTTAACACTCGAAGCTAGGCCGCTATTTGCTATCGAATGTTATGTTGATTGATTATTGTGATGAATGATTATTATTATTATGATTATGACTTGATGAAACCACTTATTAAAATGATTATCAAGGATAAATTATGAATTGAAATGAATATGTTGATGAGTATGAAATGATTTGGATTGTAAGGATATCTAGAAGAACTCTAAGATATACCTAGGATGACTTTGGTTTCTAAGACTATCTAGAAGACCTCTAAGATAGCTTAGAAATGGGCCTTGCGGGTATAATCATGAGTATTCAGTGGCCTGGGTTAAAACGTACGTACGGGATCTACAAACCAAACTCGAGGAACTCGTTTGGGGATACCACCCAACCCGACAATTAGTATTCTACTGTTCGGTTTTCTAGATTTGTACCTTAAGCGAAGGCTAGTTTAAGAGTTGGTAAATGAATCGGAATATGTACCTTAAACTAATGACCTAGCTTAAGAGTTGGTTAGAAGTACCTTGAACTAGTAATAGTTTAAGAGTTGGTAAATATCAAATAGATTGGCCTTAGACTAGAATAGTTTAAGGATATTATTGAATGACAAATGATGAATATTATATGATTAATGTTGAATATGAATGATGAATACACATGTTGAATGATTGAATAATGAATGTTGAAAATTAAAAATTGATTATTGAATATCTGAACTGAACATTATGTGCATGATATCAAATGATTTGATTATGAATTGAGATACAATTTATATGGATGTTCGACGCATTAGATATGCTTACTCAGCTTTACCGCTGAGCGTGTAGTATGTTTTATTTGCTACACGCAGGTCAATAGAATAATGTGACGTGATCCTGGAGGCAGACGGAGGCGAGATAACCGGAATGGATGTGATGGTTTGAATTAAAGAATATAAATAAATTATGTTGTGGTTATAATTTGTTAAGCTTCCGCAATATTGAAAACTCTGTACTGTTTATGATAACAAAAATATTATTATGATAAATAAAAGTGTTTGAAAAGTTTTAAATTTTACGGTTACCAAGTTAATTCTTTAGTCCGAAAGGGGCTGCAGACCTGGACGGATTAGGGTGTTACACCCCCCATGTCATAGTCCCCCCACTCCTCAGGCTGACGTCCATACAACTGCTGAGGGGAGAGAGAACCCTAGGAGGAAGGCCTCACACCAGAGACCAACCGGGAAGCTCCTGAGTGAGGATTGCGTCTCTTCTGCGGACGGGCCGTGCCAGGACAGCCAGAAGAGACTTCCGTTCTGGCCTCGTTTGGAAGCATGCCGGAACCCGGGAAAATACCTCGGATACCTGTTGGGGAAGATGAGGGTGGTTCTCCTCCCTAGGTAAGGGAGAAGTCACCGATTGTTCAGAGGCAAAAGAAGACCCAGAAGAGAGCTCAGGTGTTGGGGCCTCAAGTGAAGGGAGTGCCAACGAAGAAGAATTAGAAGAAGAATCAGAAATAGTAAGATCAATAAAGACAACCCTGTTGGCGTTATTAGCCATGCTGAGGATCTGATTGTGATGATGAAGGGATTTAGCCTGGTCTCTTAAATAGGCGAGCAATCCCAAAGGAGAAGTGCGAGGGACGCAGAGTCAAATCACTTATCCGATTGGGAGGCAGTTGCGGGTTCCCGAGGAAAGCAAGGGTTTGTGCCATCTTATTATTGGGTTAGGGTGAATTGGGCCTGGCGTAATCAAGGTGGGCCAGCCACTTAGCGCAATGGTAAAAAAACAGTACTTTGTGAATGCAGTTAAGCCCAAAGCCTAGGCAGATATAAAAAAATATGCTAAGTCCTAGGGCGAAACAAGAGTTCCAAAAGGGAAGTAGTCAGATTAATAAAAGGAGTCTATACGGACAAAATACATCAAGTATTATCAATCAACTACCATCTAGATGTTACAAAGCAAATTACAACAGTCAACAGAGAGGGATAAAGTCAAGGCCCCGGATCTGCACGGGAAGCTGGGGGAGAAAGAGGAAGAGGTAACCCATAGTAAGAGATGAAGTCATCCAAAGATCGGTTTTCCGGGAGACCACTCTGAACTGCCTCATACATGCATTGTTGCATGTCAAATTTCCTTTCTTCATAAAGGGCTTCAGCACGGGCAGTCAGGGTGGCAACCTCCTCTTGATGGGCAGCAATTGTCTTCTCCAGTTCACTTATCTTTGACCGGAGCTCGCTTGCAATCTGTCTCTCTTCCTTTAATTTCTCGAGGGTAAGCCGTCTCGCTTCCATCTGTTTCATTGCGAGTTCGTTAAGACGGGAACCCTCATGCTTGGCCTCTTGGAGGGAATTCTCTAGCTCAGAGATCCGGGACTCTTTTTCAACTAATCCAGCTTCCAGACTTCCCACTTTGTTTTCTGAAGCTGAGGCCCTTGATTGTAGAATAGAGATTTGTGCCCAGAGTTCGTCAGATTGCGCTTCTAGGTCTTGGGTTCCCCTTTGGTAGGTGGCAACTTGCTCCTGTAGGGACTGGACCCTGGACCTTTCAGCCGCTAGTTCCGTTGAGCCGTTTGCCTTGAGCTGGGCATTCTCTTCATGAAGGACCCGGACTTATTGTTCTAGAGAGTCAATCTTCTGTTGAAGAGCCCTGGTAGCCAACTCTTTTTCCTTCAGGAGCATTACGGCCTGGTAGTTTCCTGATGCTCCTCCCAAATACTCCTCAGTCAGAGTGAGGAGTGATTGTTGAGCCTAAGAGAGGGGAAGGGAAGTCAAGAAAGAGATAACTAGAGGGAAATAAAAGAGATCCTTGAAAAGGAAAGTACCTGCTCCAGGGAGTAAAGAACATTGAGAGCGAGCATGTCAGGACGAGTTTGATGAATTGTGGGCTCCCTTAGCGACTCCTTCATCTTCTCCAGATTGGCCTGGATGGTCCAGAGGGAAGCCTGCAGGGAAGTCAGGCCGCGGGAGAAGCCTGCCCAACCCTCCTTGAAGGCAGGATAGGTCTGTGGCGTGAACCTGCGCCGGAAGAGACTGACGGCGGAGGGGGTGGTGGCGTGACGTCGATCCTCCGGTTCTCGTTGTTCCTCCGATTCCCGCTGTGTCTCAGTCGCTCTTTCCGTCTCTGAAGGAGCCTCAGTACCTTTGTCCTTCACCGAAGAAAGAGCTTCAGGTTCTGATTGCACTTCAACCTCCCTCTCTGCTGTAGGGGAGGACTGCGGTTCTTTTTGCCTCATCCCTTCTTCCTCCATTTACTTGGGGAATGGTTGCGGCATGTGGAGAGGAACTAGACGCCTCAGGCTGAGGCTGCGTTACGGGTCTTCTGAGCGCAGACTAGTCCATAAGCTCTTCTCTCTCACAATCAAGTCTATCCGGGTGGGATAGCTCCAAAACCCCGGATGTAGCAACAGGGGTGGTATTCTGAGTACTAGAAGAAGATGACAGGGGGCTGGGCGAGACAGGAGTACCGTCACCCTTGTTCTTCTTGGGAAGGAAATCATCATTGGGGACACCTTCCCGTGGCCGTTTCTGGACGGAGTGGGCTTCCTGAGCCCGGGGATGGCAGAAATGGGAACAACCTCCAGGGCAGCAGCCGGTTTGCGTACAGCCAAGGCAGAGGAGCCACCTTGGGACTGACTCCCAGAAGGGCTCATGACCGAATTGGATCTTCCGGCAGAAGGAGCCTATGATCTCTCAAGAGAAGGTTCCCCTTCGAAGGGAAACGTGTCAGGACCCAGGGGTAGTAAAAACCCGCCTTCTTGTACAGTTGGGCGTCTTGAAGAGAGAGGTGTGAAATTAAACCCTCTTTCTTCCTCAAGGCGTTGTATACTTTGTTCGCCAACTCTGCTGCAGCAAATTTCGTCTGGGAAATGGAACAGCGGAGGACAACACCCGGTAGATCAAGGGGACTGTGAGCCAGGAACTCAATAACGAAGTATCTCAGTGACCATTTTTCAAGCTTGAACTCAACCTTCTCAAAAATTGGGAAATGGTTGTGGGGATACAAGCTGTAAAAGGGAAAAGACCCACCGAGGCTGAAGAGGATAAGGAATTCATCCAGTGTCGGGGTTCTGTCCAGGGCACAGCACCGCAGGACATAAGACGCTACATACTTGTGTGCATTGGCGGTTAATTGGCCCGGAGCAAATCCAAAATGGCGGCAGAGATCGCGAAGCAGACTGTGGAGGGGCAACCTAAACCCATTTTCTACAGAATGGTATTGCATGACCATGTATTTCTGGGGGTTTGGATTGTGGGATAGACTGATTCCCCAAGGGCATTGGGTGATGGACCTGGAAGCCCTTGCCCAGAAGCACGACCATCTCTCGAAGCTCATTCTCCTTGATAATGGAGGGTTCGTGGGTCCAGGTTTCGGGATTTGAAGGAGCCATTCTGGAGAGAGAAGCGAGGATTTGGGGAAATTGCAGTCGGAATTCGGGTCGGGTTAAGATTCAGTAGCGAGAGGAAGAAGACGAGTCCAAAAGGGGTTTTTATCCGTTGAAAGGATGGACCCAAGGTACTCGAGTGCGACGTTTCTAATCCGACACGAAAACCGAAGGCGGCTCATCATTAGTTTTCTAGCTACACGTCGCCAGAAAACTAGGGGGCTTGTGATGGATATCGGGTCTGGTAGGCCCGACTCCAGGCCTAAATGAAGGCCCGTAATAGCCCAACATGTATAAGATCAGACGGAGGTAATGGGCCAAGCCCATTATTACGCAAATAGCAGATAGAGAAAGGCGGTCCAGTCATGGAATAAAGGAAGGTGACCCAGTCCAAGAAGTGAGTGGGACACGTGGCCCACGTCATTGGGTCATAGACGAAGTGGGAAGAGAACGAGACCAGAAAAGAGAGAATCACAACCCCATGATCTCCATGATCCTTCCCATTTCATATAATTTTAGTTACAATATTAGATGTACTATAAAAGGGGGAAGAACCCGCCATTGTAAAGCATGAAAGAATTCAAGACTCAATCAAAGAATATTGTTGAGAGATTATACTTTTGATCCATATTACGTTCTTGGTCTGCCATCTGATTGGGTTAATCTCATCAGTGTGTATTTTTGCAAAAAAAAACATACAGAGTAATAAATTACTTTAAACAAATCAATGGAAAATATTTGAAGAAGTGTCAATTAATTACTCCCTCCGTCCGAAAATATTCTTCCCACTTTCCTTCTTGGTCCGTCCGGAAATATTCTTCTCATTTCTTTTTTTAGTATGCTTTTTAAGAATAAATTTCAATAATACTCTTCCATTTTATCACTAATATACTTTTTTAGTACTTTTTTAATAAGAAAAGGAGATTTAAAAGTTTATAGTATATGCATGTTTAAAAATTTAGCATTTTTTAAACTATTTCTTAATAAGCGTGTCAAGTCGCGGAAAAAATATTTCTGGACTGAGAGAGTATTAAACTTTGAGGATAGTAACATTTGGTTCCGATCCCATTAACATTGCATAAAGCAATAGTCACACAAGTTGACTTTTTGCCATTCTTCCCATTCTTAAATTCTTCAATATTTAGAGCACGAGCAATGGTGAGGCAAAAATGGAATGACACACGCTGACGTGGAACATTTCAACCAATAAAAAACAATCCAGTCAACGTGTGGCAAGTTAGTGGAGTGGCAAGTCTTGCAGTTGCAAGTCATTATTTTTATCTTTTTTTTTGAATTTTCTTGACATATTTTGATTACAAAAAATATTTTACTTATTTATTTTATCATAAAATATTTTTACATACTAAAAAAATAATAGATTTTTTTCCTTGAAAAAAAATAAAATGGGAACGACATTGCCTATAAAAAAACTGAGTGCAATTAACCTTTTTTTTCTTCACTTTTAACCTTTTTTTGACATATGTAATTAATAAAAAATTCAATATATTTTAAACGGAGTACTCTGCAATAAAGTATGCCTGTAATACTGAGTATTTCTTCTTTGTTCAAAACCAAAAAAAAAAAAAAAGAAAAAGAAAAAAGAAATGGAGTAACTTTGCCTCGCACATGCCACGAAAAGGGGGTGACTCCTACTTGCCTCACTTGTTCCACGCGTGTAAAATCCAATGTGGCAAGGCATGGCTTTAAAATGACACGCCACTGTTGGTGCTCTTATACTCTACTCGTTCCTCAAAATCTTTCTTCTTTCTTTTTTCATCTGTTCCAAAACACACTTCTTATTTCTATTAAAAAGTAATTTTTACTCTTACTTTTTCATACCCTACCTATTACATCATATCTTTTTACTACGGAGTAATAATCTGCTTATCAAATCTTATTTTTATCTATCACATCAAAGAACATTTTTATAATTAATTCAATACCAAAATACATTTTTCTTAAATCTTTTCAAAATCAAAACATCACATGTTTAAAGGGACGGAAGGAGTATGTTACTTGAATGTATGATTAAAATTCCATCAACTTAACTAAAATTCAATCCATTAAAACATTCTTTATCCTATACAATTGTGACGTTTCATTACATTTCTTTTACGAAATATGTATGGGTAAGACCTTCATTTATAAGAAATACAAGGTATTATTAGTAAAAAGGATCAAACCACATACTTCATCACTCCCAATTGAGAAGCTTGCATTTTCATCTGTTTCCTGGAGTGGGCATTAGATAGCTATTAAAGAATATTATTAGAAGTAATGATAGAATGAATTCACAGCTCAAATATTCATCTTATTGAATACATCTCTAATGATGTCTATAAATATTACAAAGTTACTAATGGAGACAATCAAGGAAAGTGAGTGGAAGTTAATCAAATATCTTGATTGGTAATTTGATTCCAATCAAGGATATCATCAAGATATTACACTATTCCACACTATTCTTCTTTTTGTTTGATATTTCTAACA